GTCCTCGAGTGCCACAGATTGTTAGCTGCGTTTGCGGTTGGGGTTCTTGTTCTTGTTGTTCTTGTTGTGCAGCCTCAAGTTAACGGGGCACTGCTCAATAATCCGAACGGAAGTGCGGCCAGCGCCATTTTTCAATTTGTACGCGCCGGAAATAACAATGCAGTCGCCGGGGCAACTGCTAATGCCAAAGTCCTGAGTCCTGCAGTCGCATTCCGCGCGACAAAGAACCCCTCACAGAAATTGAATTGTAACAAGTGCGAGTGCGCTGGCCGAGTGCGCCTGACTAGCAGATACCCTGTAGATTGCTGCCCCGAAAACAAACATAAGACGAGATTGGGCTTCTTCCTGCGTGAACCCTACAATTCTCCATCTCCTTAACTGTAAATTGATGCCTATATGAAGAGTGCAGGTTCAATAGAAACTTGGTAGGTCGCCAGTTCAAATCCAGAAGCAATTTTTAAGTTTTCTATTGCAGTTAGCAGAGCGTCGGCAAACTTAAAAAGAGGTTGAGGGATCGAACTCCCGTGAAGATCAACTATGTAAGTTTTTGAATTAAATTGGAGCAAATTTATTTATTAAAAAACAAAGAAAAAGGTTTTGTCAAAAAAAAAGGCAAAAGCTGAAGACAAAATATTAAAGATTTGATATAAAATTAGAGCAAATGTATTTATTCAATAAAAAAAAAAGAAAAAGATTTTATTTTCGTTTTGAGTCTAAGCAAAAGTCTCCAGATTCACGCTCAAAGCTGCCTCTGCCAAACAGTTTGCACAACACCAATATGCCCTCTTATTTTAGACCATTTTCATTATGTACAGGGTATAAATATGGGTTGGCAGTTAATGGCAGCTTATTGCATTTCCCACATGGGGCTGCGGATCAAGCTGCGTCGATTGCCGTCGACCTGCCTGAGTTAGCGTGAAATTTGATAACCTTGAAGGTCAGCCGAATGTGAAAGCCACATTAGCTATGCACATACGTGGATATTCCAATATAGTCCGGGCCTGATATATATATATATATATTTACACATTATGTACACACACACATATCGAAGCAATTAAAGTGTCTTTAGCGAGGTTGACTTTTTTCTCTCCCACTTTTTTCTGTTGCTGTTTTCAATTTCCACGCAATCGTAAAACAATAGCGAATGCTATCTATGCTATATGGTCGTCTATCTCTCTGTCTGTGCGTGTGTGTGTGTGGGTGTGTGTGTGTGTGTGTATGAATTCTCATGGCAAACAAATAAACAAACAGCTAGCAGACAACAGCGACAGCAGCTGCCGAGTTTCCCGGCCCGCAGCGATGGTCGCATCTTTCAACAACGCCGCCCGTCGCCCGCCCCCTTCCCTTTCCCACGCCCCCGACCCCTGGCGCAATAAAATGCCTGCCCGCGGGGCCTTATCAATGCCAAGCCAACGTTAAATACTTGCAATGCGACATGGCCACAAGCGAAAGGATAACATTTCAGGCAGCTTCTCGAGCGGCAACTTTAACTTGAACTTTCGCGTTAAAAAGCGAGAAAAAAACGAATTGTCGCTGGCTGATAAAAAAGGCAGCTGAGACAGAGAGAGAGAGAGAGAGAGGCAGAGACCGGGCGCACATTAGCCGAACGACCCGCTCGTATGAAGATCTATGCGCATATCTGGGCTTATGTGTGAATAGGTATACGAGGTGGGGTCAAAGGGTCATGAGATCTCGACTGATTGCTGGGAGAAAAGAAAAACTTGACGAGAAAGTGCCAGAAAAATGGGATACATTGCAGTTGTGGGAGGATTAGTTGCGAAGGGAAGGCATATGCATATATACTATTAAATGTTATATACTTAATCTATAAATACTATATAGTCTCTATATACGATATTCTTGATCATTAGCTTCCTACCATGTCGCTCTGTCGCTCCCTATGCCTTTACCTTATATGAATGAGAGGTGCCAAAAATGGTTCTCGTACTCAGACGAAGCATATTACAAATTATGGTATATTCTCACGTTTCCCACAAATCGATAAATATCGAAAAATGGGATATACTGGGATATACTTATGTAAGCATTAGTTGCAAAGAGCAGGCATCTGCCGTTCCAGAAAGTATATATATTGTTATATATACAATATTCTATATATAATATATATATATGCTATATAGTCTCTATATACTATATTCTTCAGCATCAGCTTCCTACCATGTTTCTCCCTATGCCTTTACCTTATATGAATGAGAGGTGCCAAAAATGATTCTCGTATTTCATATTCAGACGAAGCTTATTACAAATTATGAAATATTCTCAAGTTTTCCACAAATCGATAAATATCGAAATAAAGTCCTACTTCTTTTTTAAGCGTATTATGTAGACAATAAGCCCATCTCGAGCTAGAGACTGCTTCCCTATTGAATACTCAGAGCAACAAATATATTTCTTCAAGGGAGTATATGCTCAGGATTTCCAAAAATCGATAAATATCTATTTTTAGCCATTTTTCTCCTTTATGCCATTTTTATTATAAGCGTATATTGGCAATGTAAGCTCTTCTCCAGCTAAAGACTAAAAATATATATGATCCCTTATTAAATACACAGATCAAACAATATTTGTCTTCAAGGATATTTTGTATATAGACAGAACAAAATAAAATCTTAAAGCATCAAAAACTATAACTATAAAGGCAGAAGTTATTTAAGAATGAAATTTTAGAAGTAGATGAGAAACTGATCTAAAATTTCAAAATTATAAGACTATAAAGATAGAAGATAGATTTAATAATTAAATTTTCAAAGTAGGTTGGCTTAGATGCACTCTTTCTTATTTAAACTATTAGATATATATATAGAGATAAATTGATAGAAGGACATAAATCCCTTCAAAAATGTCTATTCCTGTTGGTTTTCGAGCACATCTCGCTTGGATGTACAAGACATACAATGGCATTGTTTGAGAGTTGAACAAACAGCCAAACAGTCGCAGTAAATGTAACTTTAACGGGCAAACAGAAGACGACTGAGAGGCGGGTTTGTGGTGGAGGCAGAAACTCCGGGCTGGACACAGAGAAGTCGCATAAATAAAACGCAAGCGGCAGCAGGAGCCGCAGCTGCCGGCAAATATCCTTGAGATGCAGCAAGGAGTTCAGCTGGAATCCGAGTTATGAAAATGTAATTGAAAATAGCAGAGCGTGAAAAATTCGCAAAATGAATTTATCGCAAATACTATTTGCTCGGACTATTGAGTTATTCGAAATTATTAAAGCCAACATTCAATCAATAGACAATAAATCAAGGGAGGAAAAACCCGGGTAACAGGCACCACAACAAACAACGAAAATAGTTTCCAATTAATTGCCATTCAGCGGGCAATTACCACGAACTGGCCGTGGAATATGTCAATTTGTGGTTATTCTACCCTGAACCCAATGAAAATTGATAGGAAGGGCATATAAGCTGTGTGGAAGTGTTTGCCACAGGCGGGTTGAAGTATGTCCCACTCTGTTAAGGAGATATGCAAACCAGGTCAAACAAAAAACTCATCGATCTCAGAAACTATTTATTTTATTTTTATACCCTGAACCCATTGACAATGGGTAAAAAGGGTATAATGTATTTGTGCAAATGTATGTAACAGGCAAAAGGAAGCATCTCCGACCCCATAAAGTATATATATATTCTTGATCAGCCTCAATAGCCGAGTCGCTTTAGCCATGTCCGTCTGTCTGTCCGTCTGTCTGTCTGTCTGTCCGTCCTTATATATGAACGCAAGGATCTCATAACCTATAAGAGCTAGAGCTGTAGGTCCTCCTAGTGCCCACGCAGATCGAGTTTGTTTCCGATATTCGATAACTTGCCCCGTTTCCATGCTATCGATAAAAATCGATAACGAAATCCTGTTTTTTGGGCAATTTCGGGAAATAATAAGAGCTAGAGTCACCAAACTTGACATGTAGCTTCTAGAATAGTATATATATATCAAGTATCTTTCATCTTATACCTATCGTCTGTTGGAAGAAGGGTGTTCAGGGTATCCCCTAGTCGGGATCTCCCGACTAGAACCTCTTACTTGTTCCACCTGTCCATCTGATCAGCTGGAATCTACAAACCTGGAAAAGACTTTTAATATGGTTTCTCTAGCCAACAGCCTACTGAGACGATTTTATTTGCATCCAACTTTATATAGAAATAAATAAAAGAATTTGTTATAATATTGAATTCTATTTTATTAGAATTTGTTTGATATGCGTCGATTTTAATATATTTGTGCCAGTTGTTGTTGATTTTAGTTGGGATTACAGCATCTGAATTTATTTATGAATAAATTGTAAAACAATTACAGATTTTGTACAATAATTGCTATACTTATTTGTTTTTTATTTCATTTTCCATTGCTTTTGGGGCGTATAAGCATTTTGACTGTCTTCAAGGAGTAGTAATTATCCCAAAATATGGCATAATATTTGGACACCTTGTGATCATAGTATTTGCCATTTAAATTGCTAAAAAGAAAAACAATATTAAAACAAGTAAGAGGTTCTAGTCGGAAGCTCCCGACTACGGGATACCCTGGACACTCTTCTTCCGACTGGCGATAGGTATAAAATGAAAGATACTTGATATATATATACTATTCTAGAAGCTACATGTCAAGTTTGGTGACTCTAGCTGATTTTATTTGCCAAAATTGCTCAAATAACAGAATTTCGATTTTTATCGATTACTTGGAAACGGGGCAGGTTATCGACTATCGATAACAAAGTCGATCTGCTCGGGGACTAGGAGGACCTACAGCTAAAATTTCTCTAGCTCTTATAGCTTCTGAGATCCTTGCGTTCATACATAAGGACGGACGGACCGACGGACATGGCTATACTGACATATTTACTTAATGGGGTCGGAGATGCTTCCTTCTGCCTGTTACATACATTAGCACAAATGCATTATACCCTGTTGACCCATTTTCAATGGGCTCAGGGTATAATTAATTGCATATAAATTGTTTTGACAAAGCCCTGGCGATCATTACCTGGCTGTATAAGAATCGTACCACCAGCCACCGCCATATTCGATTGCGCAGTTTCCAGAATTCAAATTGTCATTGTCACGATCGTATGTGGTGAACTTATGATCTTTGTGGTGTTGCAAGAGATCATCTGTTGCACTGCCCTCAGATTTTCCCAAGGTGATCAAGGTGTATTGGTCCTTCTCGCCAGAAATGGCAAATTGTGCGTATTTTCTGTAATTGATGTCACCATCAAATCCTTCCATATGTATGTAGAGCTCGTGGAGTTGGGCGCGCGTCAATCGATGAATCTTTTCAAGTCCTAAGAAAAAATCACCATGAAAGGCTCCAAAGCCTTCACGGCATGTGGCCCAATCCCTATAGAAATCCTCCTTGCCATTGATTCGCTGCTGGATAACCGTCCAGCCAGGACCTGCTGTCGTCCTATCACATAGTACATCGAAAGGACCTTCTTGATCCGGGCTAATCTTATGAATACCCGGCGCATCAGCAATGTCGGTGCATCCACGGTAAACGGGCTTCTCTTCGCAGCTATTTAGTTTCTTGGCACAAATGTTGATTTCGTTTTTGAGTTCGAATTGGATTTGTTGGGCCTGTTGATCAATTGACTTCTTTTGTTTCTCCAGCTGCTCTTCATAGTTCGCGATTTTCATGGCATTCGAATTAAGTTTACTCATTTGCTCTTTTAGCTCTTCGATACTCTGTTTGTAGAATTCATTCTGAGCTCTCAGCTCCACGATGACCAATTCGTGATGTTGGCTAAGTTTTTCCCGCAGTTGCTTGATTTCCCTGTCTTTGCCATCAACCTTATTGTCATTGTTTTCAATTTCCTCCTTCATCTGATGTATATACTTCAATAACGGTCTCACAGCTTTATAGGTGTACTCTCCACATTGTTCCTCTGCTATTCTGGTTGCCACACAAGACTAATAAAAAGAGTTTGATTTTGCGTAAAAACATAGATAAATTATCTGTTTTTTACCTCATTTTCGTTAGCCTCAGCTTCAGCTATGATCAGTATTAGGCATACAAATATAATTAATATGAACATAACACATTTCATTTTGATAGCACTTTGATTTTGGAATTGAAATGCGAATCTCAACCGTACTTATACTGAAGTACGGCAATCATTCGGAAGCTCGTCTGTCCAATATTTTGGCGATTTTAAGCGATTATCAGTAGGTCGGTAACTCAATATAAATAAACAAAAGGCATGGATCAGGGCTTAAGTGACCTTCATTGAACTGTTGATAGATTGCAAATAGGACAGTTCATTTGCTTTGGCTTCTTCTCGCTATCATCTGATTTTAAATTCAATATACATATGTGCATATACATACATACATTCTCATACATTTATATATTCTCCTATACCATACCCAAATCGAGTTAGTCATTTTTTGCTCGATATCATCTCCCATTTTCATAATATCAATAAATATGGATTTCGAGCATAAAAGCCTGATTCCACTATGCTTAACATTTCTTACATTTACAAACTTCACATTCTCCGATTCCATTAGCAAGTCTCCGTTGTCGATAACATGTGAATGGCAAAAATACCGCTTCTTTAAATAAACAGCTGATCGGTTCGATTTAGACTATAACTCGAAAACTTTGAGATTTAAATAAACCAAACTTGGTATAACTTATAAAATAAATAAATATATAATTGAAGGTTCTCATATAGTAAACACATAATGGGAATATTTAATTTTTCTGGATACCTTTTCCCTTTCACATTTCCCAAAATAAGGAATTATTTACTTATAAGGATAGAACCTTACAATTTGATATGCATATTCTTTTACATGCCACATTTAAGCACCATACATTTTATAAAGATCGGACAATATATACCGAACTCAATTCTGGAAGAAAAAGAAGCGCAATTCCCCGCAAGAGTCCTGATATGTGATATATGTACATATATATGTGCAGAAGAAAGCTAGAATGATTGTAACAGTAAGGTTCAGGGTATCTGCTAGTCGGACAAACCCGACTAGAGCACTCTGACTTTTTCTAAAAGCAATTTTGTGAGCCATCAGCCAAGAGCCACTGGCACCACCGCAACCACTCGGTGGCTACAATTGAAAAACAAGCTTTTGGTTTTACGGCGCTTTGTCCTTTGTCCTTTTCCTGTTGTTCCTTGTTGTTGTTGTTGCTGCTGGTTCGACACGAGCGCTGTCCTGGCATGCGAACTAGTTAGATTAATTTAGCCCGAGTCACAAATACAATTACGAAGTCATTTCAATTTATTTAGCGTATGGCACCCCAAGCAACAACAACAACAACAGCAAAAAATAATATAAAATAAAGCCTCAACGTTGAGGGTGCCAGAATCGAATAGGAATAAGGGAATTAACCGAGAGACGCAGCCGGAGCAGGAGCCGGAGCTGGAGCAGGAGCAGGAGCAGCTGTTGGAGCTAGGGCTGGAGCTGGAATTGGTCTGGGCTTCTTCTCATTAAAGGCGAGGCTTTAATAAGCGCTTAAGATCTGATTGTAATCTAGAATTATTATATTTCTTTTTATTGTCTTTATTTCACTTTTACTTTCTATATCCTTCCAGTGGGTATTATACTTTTAGCACGACTTGTGTAACGTGCTCAAAAAGTATTCATATGCTTCCTGAGAATTTCAGTTTGAAGGATGTGAACTTAAAAGAAAGAGTATCTAGTGAGGATTGCCCGAATAGGGAATACCTTAAACCTGCTTCTACCAACACCAAATGTAGCTCACACTATGAAGAGGGAAGGGGAGGAGTCAGCTATAAAATTAAAGAATCTTGATCTATATATATATATATATATATATTCTATACATACTATTATAGAAGCTGCGTGTCGAATTTGTTGAGTCTAGCCATAAAACCCTAAAAGATTTGCTAAAAAACAGGAATTTTATATCGATTCTTATCGCTATCTCTTAAAACTTAAAACTCTTGTCATAGTATTTTAAATCAGGATAAGAATAATAATTTTGAAGTAATATTCTACAGCTTAGGCCTAGCTTTAGCTCTTCTTTGTTCTATTTAACCGGTTCAAGGTTCGTCTTATGGTTAATAGAAAATTTGAGTTCCAGGCTCTAATTATAAGATTTCCTCAAACCCAGCTCAGCTATTGCGTGCTTCATTATTACCATATTATCTATATTATGTTATAAATTGTGTGTTTTTATGTGTGTGTGTGTATGTATGTGTGTGAGTGGGCGTGTGTATTTGTGTGTGTGCTAGTGTACTTATGTATTTATGTATGCATGCATGTTTGCTTTCTAATACCAAAACGCAGACCAAGCCTATTTTTCGCTGTGCTGCAAATATAAATAAAACAAATTTCTACCAAGTGCTCTTCTCCTCGATTCTCAAGAATGCAAGTAGGCTCTGCAGTTTTTCATGCTTGCTAGCTAAGTGCAGTGCTTTTTTTTTATTTTTTGTTTTAGTCGCTGTTATTTTTGTATTTATGTATGTATGAATGTATGTATGTATGTATGAATGTATGTATGTATGAATGTATGTATGTATGTATGTACATATGTATGTATGTATGAATGAATGTATGTGTGTATGTAGGTATGTATGTATGTATGTATGCATGTATGTATGTATGTATTTATGTATGTATGTATGTATGTGTGTATGTATGTATGAATGTATGTGTATATGGATGAATGTATGAATGTGTGTGTGTGTGTATGTATGTATGTAAGTATGTATGTATGTAAGTATGTATGTATGTATGGATGTATATATGTATGTATGTATGTATGTATGTATGTATGAATGAATGTATGAATGTATGTGTGTGTATGTTTGTATGTATGAATGAATGTATGAATGTATGTGTGTGTGTATGTATGTATGTATGTATGTATAGATGGATGTGTACATATGTATGTATGTATGTATATATATATGTTTGTATGTATGTATGTACGTATGTAGGTATTAGGATATGTATTAATACATGTACGCATGCATGCATGTTGCATATAAACAAAACAAACATGCATACATGTAAGTACCAACTGGCATACATACTATATATAGGACACTTCAAACTTCTCTCAATATCGAAAAGTGTGAAACACAAAGATCTTTGAAAATGTGACCTGATGGTAACCAAAAACATTTCATGTAAAAGTTTTTCGCGCTTTTTTCACACATGCGAGTGAAATTTCGCAAAATTTCCCCATGTTGGGCTGTTCGTTGTAATCAGTCAGGACAAACAGTTGTATATATAGAGATATATTCATTATTCCTAAACTATAGCATACTCATAATGCGGTAGCAATCGATTAAAAGTGAATGTCTTACTTTCCATTTATCTACTTGGGTATTTAATCTACGGCAATCCGATAATTCCCTTTATTTTTTGCTTCTCTTTTTAGACAGCTCTGCGATTTGTCAAAGTAGCTGGCAAGCCCACTAACTGGAACCATTATGGAACGATAAATTGATTAGATATGCGTATGTGTCTAGTAAATATATATCGTAATGTGCAATGTGTGCGAGTGTGTGTGTGGGTGTGTTTATATCTGTGTGTGTGTGTGTGTGTGACAACTTTCTTTCCTTCAGTTGGCTGTGGCTGCTGCTGCTGATGCTTATTGCTGCCTCAAATTGCCATTTCAATGTTAATTTTATTAGGGTGTCAGCTATAAATTGCCTTCAATCTTAAATACCATAAAAAGCGTTACACTCTCACACACACACACGCACGCACACATACGACATATTCGCATTTTTAGCATATACTATATATATTTATATCCAGTCGAAGTCCAAAGCGCTCAATTTCCATTATCATCAACAGCTTTGAACCTTATTCAAATCTCAGCTAAATTATACCAAATACTTGCCACATAAACATGCCAATGTGTGCGTGTGTGTGTGTGTGTGATGTGTGTGTGTGTGTGTGTGTGTGTGTGTGTGTGTGTGTGTGTGTGTGACCCCATCTCTAGCCTGTTTTAGGCCAGGCCACAAGTTATCCATCACACTCGACATGAACACGCTCGCTCCGCATGTAAGCAGTTGGGATTCGGTCGTAACCATAAACCGTTCGAGATTTACATGCCCCGTGCCCCGCGTCCCGTGCCCCGTGCCCCGTGCCCCTCGACCTCATGTTCTTGCGGTCGCAGTTGTTGCCACTCGCCGCAGATGGGCGCGTGTCCGGAAACGAAAGCAACTAAAACCCGGAAATACGAACGTCTGTAAATATTATAAACATTTATTTGAAATATTTCACTGCCTATTTATTTATTTATTACTATTTCTCCTCATGTTATATATTAGTTGCCTTTTAAGCTAGCTTAGCGCTTACTTTTATTTATTTATTTATTTAATTATATATCTCTATATATAAATCAGTTTGTCCTGACTGACTGACTGATTAGTCACACACACAGCCCAAACTGTAAAAGCTAAGAAATGTTCACTGTTGTAACCATTTATGATGAAGCTGCACGTTAAGATGGGTAAATTTCGCGTAATTCCACCCGCATGTGCGGAAAAAGCGCGAAAAACGTTTGTATGTAACTTTTTTGTTTACCATCCGATCGGCCTCAAACTCATTTTCAAAGAAATTTTGTTCAAATTCATTTGATGGGTGTTTCGGACTTTTTGGAAATTTCATCCCTCCTTTGGAATTTAATGAATACGTGTTTCAGCGATTTGGGAAATTCCACCCACGCCAGTGGTAAATTGGCGGAAAACTTTTGTATGAAAGCTGTTTATTTACCGTCCGATTAGTTTCAAAATCATCTTCAAAGCTTTTTGAGAACATTAACCTTATACGTGCCACGGTCGAGGCCGGGTTATACCCGTTAGTTTAATAATATAATAATATTAATATCACTTTTGTGTAATTTAGTCTCTCTGACCAACGAGAAGCTGCTTTTTTTTATAAACAATTAAATACATCTTGTCTTTGTGTCAAGGAAATGCCGCCACGTGCCCCGCACTAGTTGTTAAAGGTCTTCGTCCTTTCCCGCAGCTGTGCCACTTGGGGCAGCTCCTGTGGCAGCTGTGTTGTTCATGAAATTGAAACTGTAATCGAATCGGAGCGAAAGGCCAGAGTTTGTTTTGCACTATTTATGATTTTCCATATATTGATAGCCCGCACTCGACAGTTCCATCAATTTCAACTTTCGAGCGCTTCATTTGTCTTTCTACTCGACAAAGTTTTTATAAAAAAACAATTATGCCCGAAAATGGAATGGCCAAATGGCCAAATGGCCACTAGCCGCTGGTCCCTTGGCCAATTTGGCTTTATTGGCCTGCACTGACTCATTCCGGGCCGGGTCGGGCTGGGCTCTGTTGGCCATTGTCAACATCGTTAAAGTCGCATTTTTAAGCCAAATGTGGCACAAAACTGCCTTGTTATGTCATTTGGGTACATTGAACCGAAACTCCGGACATCATCACATGACAGGACAACAAGCCGAAGACAAAGGACAAAGCGACAGGAGCAGAGCCAGAAATGGAAACAGGAGCAGGAGCTGAACATAACCAATATGCTGTGCACATAATGAATTTATCAAATTAATCAAAATGGCGCTGCAAAGAGCGGAAGTTCTTGTTACTGTCCCCCCCCCCTCTCTCTCCCTCTCTCTCACTCTCTCTCACTCTTTCTATGTGTGTGTGTGTCTATGTGTGCGTGTGTTTGTGTGTCTGTGTTTGTTTGCGTGTGTAATACAATTAAGCATCAGAGGGACTTGCGCAAAAATGGAGATTTAATAAAGCCATTTGGCTGATGGGCAGCCTCTAGTGATAATCGCCAGTTAGCCAACACTAGAGATTGCAGCCAGGGTTGTCACCCAGTCGAAATATTAGAATTATAGTTTGAACTAAGTTCTTGACTTATTTTCTAAGTGTTTCTTGTTGTTTAAATCTGACAACAAAATATGTATATAGAGCAAATACCATATAAAGACATAGGTCAAAATGTTCCACCCCAATCCCTCAAATATCCCACATAAACATAGGTCAAAATTTCCCACTCTTATAGCTCGGTCAAATCTCATCCGATTTTCACGAGGTTTGGCTCTTTGTTCATGGTTTGACCTCTAAGTTAATTTGGCATCCAAATCTGACAACATTATTTTTGGTCAACATTCATCTAAAAATGGTACCCTTACATATCCTATGTAGAAATAGGTCAAAATTTCCCATACCCATAACTCGGTCGAATCTCATCCGATTTTCATAAGGTTTGGCTTTTTGTTCATGGCTTGGCCTCTAAATCAATTTGGCATCTCAATCTGGCAACATTATTTTTGGTCAAAATTCATGTAAGAATAGTACCTAGAAATATCCCACATAGACATAGGTTAAAATTTCCCCCACCCATAACTTGGTCAAATCTCATCCGATTTTCAAAAGGCTCGGCTTTTTGTTCATGGTTTGGCCTCTAGATCAATTTGGCATCTCAATCTGGCAACATTATTCTCGATCAAAATTCAAGTGGAAATGGTACCCTCAAATATCATATACATATACCCATAGGTCAATAATTCCCACTCCCATAATTATATAATAATAAAAATTAATATATGTAAATATAAAACTTAATTAAATATAGTTATAGACAATTAAAGCGGGGTATATACATATTTATTGTCAATGGCCTCAGCATATTTGCAAAGATTTGTGATAATTTCTAATCTTACCGGAGAGCTGACAACCCTGCAGGTAATTAAAATCCCGCCGACGACTGACACCGGGATTGCGGGAGTATGTTTATGTTAGCCTGACGATGGGGAATGGGTGTGTTAATCGCATTGGTCGGATGTTTTAATGTTATGTAAATGACAGGGCCTAATGAACTCTCCACTCATTATCGTTAGCCAGTTGGCCGTGCTCGGGCACGGGGTGGAGCCGGAGGTGGCCGCTACTTAAATGCTAATCCCAGACACTTTTGCTGCTACACTTCAGATCCCAGGACATAATCCAATTGGCTGCTGCTGGCGACAAGGAGGACCACAAAGCCCCCCCTCCAGCTGATTGATTTGTTTAATGTCGCCGCGGGGCAACCGGACGGAGCCGGAGAGCTGGTGCAGCAACCGGAACGGGCGCTGTTAGCGACATCGTAAACTTCAGGCCGGCCTACGGGCAACTCTTAATTTCATTAGCCCGTATTAAAGGGCCCCCCCCCCCCCCCCCCCGACCAAGCCAAATCAAACAGCAGGACGGTAAATCGCATCCGACCCGGAGGATAATGTGCCAAATGCGGCGAATATAGGGAATTCCACGGTGGTTGACGCCCTTGACGCAGGACGACGACATTGTTGAGCGGCTGCCTCGGCGTCGCTGTCGCCTCGCAAGCTGTGGCCAGGCGCGGGCAGCAGCCGCGGCTGACACTGAACAGCATCAAGGCGAGCCTACTGCTCCTCCTCCTCCTCCTCCTGCTGCTGCTCCCAACAACAACAACAACAACAGCGACACCTCAAGATGCTGCTGCTGCAACAGGGTCGACGACGCAGCACGCTGAGCTATCCCGTGGCGCTGCTCGTGGCGACCATGGCGCATACAACGCAACTAATAGTATTCCAGCCTACAACAACAACAGCAACAACAACAGCAACAACAGAAGCAACAACAACAACTCCAACTCCACCGATCCGGTCGCCGATGGGGATGCTGAGCAGATGCTGCCACAGATTCCGTCGTATATACGCACAACCGCCATGTTCTTCTGCATAATCATCATGCTGCTGGGCGTCATCGGCAATGTGATGGTGAGTATTGTCAGCTTATTCTAATTTGATTGACTGACTGACCGATTGACTGATTGAAGATGAAATTAAATTATTCAATTTCCACCATTTGAACAGCTTGAAATTCATTTTCAAAGATCTTTGGGAAAATTATAATACTTGTTGTCGTGTTTTTGTACTGACTGTTTTGATTGACTGACTGATTGACTGATTGAAGATAAAATTAAACTATTCAATTTCTTCCATTCAAACTCGTTTTCAAAGATCTTTGGCAACATTTGTTTGAGTCTTGTTTTTATACTGACTGTTTTGATTGACTGACTGATTGATTGAGGATAAAAATAAACTATTCAATTTCTTCCATTCGAACAGCTTCAAACTCCTTTTCAAAAGATCCTTGGCAAAATTAATTATTGATGTGATTTTTATACTGACTGTTTTGATTGACTAACTGATTAACTAACTGATTGACTGATTGAAGATGAATTATGAAGATGATGAAGATATTTCGAGCAAACTCATTTTGACAGATCTTTTGGGAGAATTACTTATTGTCGTGTTTTTGAACTGACTGTTTTGATTGACTGACTGATTGAACAGCGTTGATGATATTAAATTTTTTTCCAACAAATTCAAACTCGATTCCAAAGATTTTGTAGAAAATTTATAATTTTGGTATTTTTATGCTGACTGTTTTGATTGACTGACGGATTGACTGATTGAAGATGCAGTAAAGATATTACATTTTGTTCCATTTGATCGGCTCCAAACACATTTTCAAAGATCTTTGGGAAAATCAATTAAAGTCTCGTTTTTTACTGAGTCTCAACTCTTTATTTTGATTGACTAACTGATTGACTGATTGAACATTGACGCCGCGTGCAAACTAGAAGAGCTAGCAAGAAACATTCTTCACGGTTTTTGAAAAATTTCTACAGCTAGAGTTACTAGAGTTACTGGAAATCGCCTGTATTATTTTTTTTGCTAAACATCGGATAAGCTATGAGCTTACTTCCAAAAGTCGTTATTAAATCTTTGAGTAATTTTTAATTGTTTTTGACAAATAAACAAGTGAAACGTTTTTCACTCTTTGTCGAAAGGGGGGGAAATTGGAAATATTGGAACTTTTTGTACGAACGACTTAAGACCTATTTTGATTACATAAAAAATGATTGAAAGTATGTTTAGGCTAATTTGGGTAATTCACAATAAGGTTCGGAAAAGGCGTGGAAAAGTGTTGCCAATTCGCTTTTCACTGGTTTTCCCAGATCAAATATACATATAACACATGATAAAGGACCTCTTCCCTTGCAGGTGCCCATCGTAATAGTGAAGACAAAAGATATGCGCAATTCCACAAACATATTTCTAACCAATCTGAGCATTGCCGATTTGCTGGTGCTGCTCGTCTGCACGCCCACGGTTCTCGTCGAGGTGAACACACGACCCGAGACTTGGGTGCTGGGCCACGAGATGTGTAGGTTCCAAATCTCGGCCAGCTGTTGTCCAAACCAAATTAACATTTCACTTATGTTCACATGCAGGCAAGGCGGTGCCATTTGTGGAGCTGACGGTGGCCCATGCCAGCGTATTGACCATCTTGGCCATCTCCTTCGAGCGATACTATGCCATCTGTGAGCCCCTGAAAGCCGGCTACGTGTGCACCAAGGCGCGCGCCATTCTCATCTGTGTCCTGGCCTGGGGCATTGCCGCGCTCTTTACGAGGTAAGTCTCTCTCTCTCTCTCTTCCACTCTCTCTCTCTCTCTCACACACTCTCTATCTGTTTCTTTGTTTGGGCATTGAACTCGCCCGCCTCACACTCTGCTTCTTTATGCTTTAAGCACTCGCATATTAAATTCGAATATTCGCTTTATTACTTTCGTATTTCGTAGCTAGTTTAATCTATTCCATGCAAGCATGCTTCTGGTTATGGTATTTCTCGCTTTCCTTTCTAGATCTGTTCATCTATATATATATATACTATATCTATTTACTGTACTTTGTCTAATTCCATTTTTGCCACTTTTGTTCTGTATTTATTTGGGTTTCTTTTTACTCATTAATTATAAGTGTCAATCGCGGCCATTTTTAATGTTTTTGTATTTTGTTTTCCATTTGACCATTTCCACAGTTTCCTTTGTCGTTATTATGCCCTTGCAGCGGGCCTCATGACTTTGTCGCCGAATATGTAACATATGGAAATTTGAATTTATTAAATATTTATTCTTGAAATATTATTCTTAATAGGCAGAATAATTTATTTAATTGAAAGCAAACTCTTTGAATTTTTTTTAATATTTATTCTGGAAATATTAATATTAATAGGTACAAAATTCAGAGCAAAAATTTATTAAATATTTATTCGTGAAATATTATTTTTAATAGGTTCAATAATTTAGTTGAAAATATTTTTTTAATTTTTGCATTAAATTCAGGAAAAACAGGCTTCATTATGCACAAAGTATAGCCACAAAATCTGATCAAAATTGATCCAATTTCTTACTTCATGGAAAACATTAATCAAAAATATAGTTGTTGGAGGGAAAAACTAAAATTGCGCTTAAGATACACTAACCAAATCTAGAATCTATCATTTTATTATGGCTCTTAAATATGAGGACATTTTCTTTAGCATGTCATTATATATTACAGAATATATCATTATATATATTAATATATATATATCATCATATTATATATCATTATATATATTCATTTAAGCTCCTATAGGAACAATCAATTAAAAATGTGTTATGCAACATGTTTCTGTTTTTAAAGATATCCCAGATGGGTTCGGTATTTATGAGTATTACTATGCTCTAAAAATATAGAAAAAAAAACAAATATAACACGGGTAAAAATTGCTAGAGAGTTTTTCTTATAATAGATCTTTGGATCTTAATAGATCTGAGGAATAGACAGAAGTCCGCAAAGCTCTACCTCTTCAAGCGAGATTTCTTGATTTTGTGGGAAATTTTTTTTATTTATTTATTTATTAATTAATTTAAAAACTAAAATTATAAAAATGAAGTGCTAAGAGCCTCATTAGAATACAAAATGTTCTAATATCAAAAATTTATAATATCAAAACAAAATCAAATTTTTGGGGAATGAGGGAAAATTTACAAAAATCTTATCTATATATATACCCTAAAAAAGTCTACAAACCATATTTGGTATATCAAATTTTTAAAATCCTCGAGTTATTAAGAATCAAATCTCGAAATTGGTATCTAGCGAAATCATCAGAACGTAAGGATTTATTGTAAAAGATAAAAGCTGTAAAAAAAATATTAATAAAATATGCATATGACAAGTCCGGATCTGCAAGGGCATTAAATGTTCGGCTAGCCGAACTGCCCTTCTTCTTCTTCCTGCTGGTGTTTGCTTCTGGCCTTTGTTTGACATCAACTTCTCCATTTACATGCTAAACATTGGCAGTTAGCGTTACGACTGAACCAATTCTATTCCGACCTCCATTCCGACCTCCATTTCCCTACATACATTTCAGCATCATCTGAGCTTGGTTTCGGTTGCTTCTTCTTCTTCTTCTTGTTATCATATTGTGTGCTTTTTCTGGTCGTCCAGCCTGCCTCAACTTTCCGGCTGTGTCCATTGTGCTCTGTCCGGCTGTCATTATCAGCGCGCTGTCATCTTTAATAAGCGGCAATGCGGACTATCATTCGGGAATTTACATTCCATTGACACTGTGGCGACCCTCTTTTCCTTTCACAAATCCCACGCACAGCGTGTGACACAGTCGGTGGGCGTGACAGCCGCCCACTTTTGTGCCCATTAATTAGGCTAACCAGCAAGAAGCTGTCAGAGAGCACACGCCCACAGCTGACTCGGGGGAGAGGCGTTAGCACATAATTCAGACACATTCACAGCCTGTTGCCCCGATCCATAAAGTCTTCTCCTCTGTCTCTGTCCCTGTCTCTATCCCTGTCTCTGTCTCTGTCCCTATCTATGTCTCTGTCTCTGTCCCAGTCTCTGGCTCTGTCTCTGTCTTCGACTCTGCCTCTGTCTCTGTCCCTGTCTCTGTCTTCGACTCTGTCTCTATCCCTGTCTCTGTCCCTGTCTCTGTTTCTGTCTCTATCAATGTCTCTGTCTCTGTCCCTGTCTCTATCCCTGTCTCTGTCTCTGTTTCTGTCCCTGTCTCTGTCTCTGTCCGTGTCTCTTTCCCTGTTTCTGTCCATGTCTCTGTCTCTGTCTCTGTCTCTATCTTTGACTCTGTCTCTGTTCCTGTCTCTGTCTCTGTCTTCTATCTTCTATCTTCGACTCTGTCCCAGTCTCTGTCTCTGTCTCTGCCTCTATCTTCGACTCTGTCTCCATCTCCATCTCTCTTTCTCTCTCTCTCTCTCTACGCTCGTATATAACCTTTGACTCAGACACACCCTTCAACGTGTTTATGTTTGTTTTCTCTCTCTCTCTCTCTCTCTCTTTCTCCCCAACTGTCTCTCTCTCTCTCTTATAGCCCCATACTTTGGGTGGCTGAGTACAAGCTGGTTGAGTATATCGATGGATCCTCGGTGCCAGTTTGCCTGACCCAAGCGATTGGCGTCTCCACGGTTGGTTTCTTTCTGATGACCATATCCGTGTTCTTCGTGCTGCCGTTCCTAATGCTGGTCGTGCTGTATGGCATCATTGCCCGGAACCTGGTCTCCAGTCAGAGCGCCATGCTGCGCGCCCGTCCCACCAAGCCGGAGCTGAGTCTAAAGGCGCGCAAGCAGGTGGTCCTCATGCTGGGCGCCGTTGTGCTCTCGTTTTTTGTCTGCCTGCTGCCCTTTCGGGTGCTCACGCTGTGGATCATCCTGAGCACGGAGCAGACGCTGCACGACATGGGCCTGGTGCGCTATTATAGTCTGCTCTACTTTTGCCGCATCATGCTCTACCTCAACTCGGCCATGAATCCCATACTCTACAATCTGATGTCCACCAAGTTTCGCAAGGGTTTCGCTCGCCTCTGCCACGACGTCGCCCGTCTCCTATTGAAGCTGCTCACCCTGGGACGCCGCCGTGCCAATGCGGGTGACTCACGCGGACGCAGCGGCACCCTTTCGACGGGCACGGGCACCCAGACGAACTCCTCGAATGCGACAGCGGCCACCAGCTCGAGCATTCTGTCGCGCGGCTCGAATCGACGCGGCAGCGAGGAAATCAGCCGCACACGCCTCAAAATCGAACTGCAATTGCCGTGCGGCAGCGATCTGGAAGCGATGGCCATGCTCCAGAACTCCACGTTGCGCAGCAAGCGGCGGCAGAGCGACAGCCGGCTGCTCGGCGAGAAGAAACCGCGACGGCCCAAGCCGCAAATAAGTTTCGATGAGGCAGCCGTGGAACGAGTCCCAGAGGAAACTTTAAGCCCGGCATGAAGAGGAGGCAAATCCTGGCAAGGGAGGAGAAGAAGAGACCAAGAGACGAGTAGGAGCTGGAGGAGGAAGTCGCAGAGGAGGAGGAGGAGCTATGGCAGAAGTAGAAACCGTAGGAGGAAACTGTAAAGCTGGACTAAAGCGGAGGCAAATGCAAGCCAGAGGAGAAGTAGGGACCAAAAGACGAGTAGTAACCGGAGGCAGAGGAGGAGGAGAAGCTGTGGTAGAAGTAGAAACCGAAGGAGGAAACTGTAAAGCTGGCCTCAAACGGAGGCAAATCGCATAATGACAGGCAGAGCCGGAGGCAAATCCAGGCAAAAAACGGAGACAAGTCCAGGCAGAGGAGGAGGAAGGAGGAGCAGGAAGCGGAACGGAATGAAAAATCATGTGTAACCCGTTTACACTTACGCTTCAGTTGATTCTGGAATGTCGGCCGGCCGGCCGGCAGAGTCTCAGCTGATCCTGGCCACGCCCGTAATCGATGCCATTCAGGCGTTGACAAGACCCAAGCTCCTTGGACATATCCGCACACAACAAAAAACAATCAATTTTTCGGGCTATTAAACTCGAATGAATGTGCCAAAGATAAATAACAGCAGCGACAGCCAAAGCAGCAAAAACAACTACAACTATAAGAGGGGAGCGGGGCGGGGTGCGGGTGCGGGTGCGGGTGGTCCATTAACTGGCATGTAAAGCACGGCAAATGGAAATGGCTTTATATGCGTTTGGTGAGCCCATCAAGCAGGCGGATAAACATGATTTAGTTGTATTGAAATACATAGTTTCTTCCTCTTCTTCTCTCTGCTGCGCAGTTTCCTTCTGCAGAGTATGTTTCGTCCATTTGCCAAAATGGCGGCCAACAGCAAAAAAAAGTGTTGCCTACTTTGCGGCGGCCGAGTAAAAATCAAAACCAAACAAATGCATAGCTCGCATGTACACGCACACACACGCACACACATACACACGCTCACACATATTAATAAATATTTATATATATATATATGCCCACGCACACATGTATTTACCTTGTATATCTACTTAGAGGCGCCCAATTTGTAAGTAAATAAACATTTTTGTATTACAATTCAAGACATTACCTTAATCGGATGCAAGCGTTTTCTAATTTGATTTTCTTTTCTGATTAGAATCTGGCAAACAATTGTAAATATGTTTGTATGCAGGTACAGTGAAAGCTCTGCGAATGAACAGCTGGTCTTGGGCGAAGTTTTACCTTTTAATTTCTTAATGTTAATCTTTAAGCTTGCAACTTTAATGAAAGTTAATTTTTTTTTATGAAAATGCTTTTATTTTTATTTCCAACTTCCACTGACAAAAAGTTTTGAAGTAATTTTAATTTTTATTTATTTAATTTAATTTTTTTTTTTGGGATATAAAACTTTTTTAATATTTAAAATTTTTAAATTAATTAACTTTTTTCAAAATTTTTGGTCATTTTTGAGAGAATTTATAACTTGATTTTGTGAATTCCAGTCTATATAGTTAATACCCGTCCGATTCTAAAATGTTTATCATTTGCATATAAAACTTTATTTACTCGACATATTCTTTTCCTTTTCATTTTATTTCTTAAAAAATTATCTCTTCAGCCAAAATGAGCCCTAATAAAAGCTGAAGCACTCCAGAGAGCTTTCACTGTATCATTAAGTAAAATATTGTTTACATACGTTTTTGTATTTTTGAAAACTTTCGACCGTAATACGAAGTAGTTATCCACATAAATTCTTGTATATATGTGTATATATATATATTTAGTAGAGCAGACGTTTCCGTTTCCGTTCTGGTAATTTGATTAGGTTGAGTGCCGCTTCAATTGGAAACTTGTGAATAGTTTTTAAATATTGAACTTTATTTGTTGTATTTTATGCTCAAACTTTGCAGACAAGCGACATTAAAAGCTCATCCTCTTGTATTTCTATATATGTATATACTGTATTTGACTATAATTCTTGCAGTCCCATCATTGCCATATCCAGCTACAGCGTGGAGCCCTACGGGGACGGGACGGAGGCGCCAGTTTGCACCACCGCCGCGGACGGCTTTTGGCCCATCTTCTACTTTGTGGGCACCATAACGCTCTTCTTCTTTTTGCCCTTTGGCATCCTGCTGCTGCTGTATGCGGCGATTGCGTACAAGCTGCTGCGCCCGAACAGTGCATTCCATAGGCCCACCTCGCCGCAGGGGACCGCTCCGACGGCTGCCGCGGCAGCCAGCAGCAAGGGCAACAGCCATCAGCAGAGCAACGGGATGCGAAAGCATCGCAAACAGGTGATCTTCATGCTGGTCGCGGTCGTCGCCAGCTTCTTTGTCTGCCTGCTGCCCTTTCGGGCGTTCACGCTGTGGGTGATCACGGCCAGCACCGAGGATGTGGAACGTCTGGGCATTGCCGGCTACTACAATCTGTTGTACTTTTCGCGTTTCATGCTGTACCTCAACTCGGCCATGAATCCCATACTCTACAACCTGATGTCGTCCAAGTTTCGCAGCGGCTTTTGGCGGCTGCTGCTCAGCTGCTTTGGTCGGCGACCGCATCATCATCGGCATCATTATCATCATTATCCGACTGTCGCGGGGCGCAGTCTGCGGCAAACGCAGCGCAGGCAGGATCTTGATCCGGCGGAAGGCACAGCTGTGCCGGGCCCGGACAATGGCCAGCGGCCGCGACGCACGCTGCGACGGGAGGCCACCTTTCTGATCAATTCCATATCCACCTCGTCGGGCACCGAGCGCAACACCTCCTCCACATGGCGCAGCAACAGCCTCTCCACGTCCCTGGGACTGGGCGAACGGGAGCGGGAGCGGGATCGCGGCGCCCTCGGAGCAGCCATAATTGGCACGACGGCGGCGACAGTTACCGCGGCCTGCCTGCAGGAGCGACGCGCCAGCAAAATCTGAGCACAGCAAAAAATCGTATTTAGTTGAGTTCTGACAGCACACAGATTTAGTCCATAGTCATAGTTAATAGATGAAATTTTGTTGTAAAGACTGAAGTACCTCAGAAGAAGTCAATAAACGCTAGAAAAGATTCGTTTTTGGAAACCAAAGTAAATAAAAAATGCTGTCAATTTTTGTGACGAGGCAATCGAAGCTATTAACATTAGGTCTGTATTAGCTAAAGTACAATAGAATATTGAAGGAGGCTGGAGGTTCGAATCCTAGGTGAATGTGTGAATATGGTAGATGTCTTAGCTAAAGGCCCAGTCATATAGTCAATTAGGAAAGGAGGTCCAGGGTTTGCTTATATGTAAATGTAGTAGTTATGTCTTTGCTTATCTATTGCTAATAAGTTTTAGTCTATTAGTAATATCATTCGAAGCCCAGGCTAATGTTTAAACATGGTAGATGTCTTAGCTAAAGGCCCAATCATATAAGCAACTGGAGAAGGATATTCAGGTTTCGAATCCCCTGCTAATGTGTAAATGTAGTAGTAATGTTTTAGCTTATCTATTGCTAATAAGTTTTAGTCTATTAGTAATATCATTCGAAGCCCAGGCTAATGTATCTATTGCTAATATTTTTCAATCTATTAGTAATGTCATTAACTAACTAAATAGTATCAGTCTTTTTTTTTTGCTTATCCATTGCTAATAATTTGTTAATCCATTTGTTATAATGTTAACCTTTACAAATAAGGTAGAAAAATGTTGTTTATTGCTCCGACCATAAACGTGCGTGTGGCTTATGTTCAAGAATTTTTTATTGTGTTAAACGTCTCTCATTATCTTATTATCATCATCAAAAATTACACTATTTTATGTGCCTAAACAAATCCTACGCGTTTTTTTCCATTTCACTGAACGTTTCTCTTTAATTCTAAATAATGGGTTTTTTTCTCTTTTGATTTATATAATAATTACAATATGACAGACAGAAGTGGCGATAGATATGATTTGAGAATGGAATTGTAGTTAATATAATTCGGTTGGGTGCCGGATTTGAGTCTGGGCTATAATAAACGCAGTTTTTGTTTGAATTTTTATTTTTGTTTTGTTTTTCATTTTCATTTTGTTTTTGTTTATGCATATAAGTATTAATAGTAATCGGTATCGGTATCGGTATCGCTATCGTTATCGCTATCGGTTCGCGCTGCTGTGGTAAGTAACTCTTAAGTTTAGATTAAATTTAGATTAAGTTAATTACTACACCATTTTGTTGTTGTTGTTGTTGTTTGCTTTGCACTACTTATGAACAGAACTATAGAAAACAAAAGGAAAGTCAAAGGGGTAGGGGTAGGGGTAAGGGGGGGGGGGGTAGTACATATCAGTATATCCTGTGTGTTATATGTGTGTGTGTGTGTGTGTGTTTTAATTGTGTGGCTGTTCAGAAAGTTGAACTTGAATTGCGCGCACTTTCGCAACGAACTTCTCATACTTTTCAATACGCATCATTATTGTTATTATATAATTCAATTGTTTTTGTTTTGTTTTGTTTTTTTATAATTACGATTTGCTTGTTTTATTATTGTGTTGATGTTTTTGTTTCTCTTTTACTTTTGCCGTGTTTTTGTTTCGTTTTAATTTATTATATTTAAATTTTGTTTAATTGTATAATAAAATAATGATTCACAATCAGAGTTATTCAGCAGCAGCCAGATTTGGTGTTCTCCACTGGACGACCCTGATCGATTTTCACTTTGCTAGCATTATCGGTGGCGCTGGACGGCGGCCCAACGCGATTCTTAATCTCGGCCGCCATCGTCATGAATGCCTGCTCCACGTTGGTGGCGCTCTTGGCCGAAGTTTCAAGGAATGGAATGCCTAACTGATGTGCGTACTCCTGCAAATCCAAAGTTGTAATACATTAATAAAAGATACAAATATATATACTATATATTAGGTGGCATTTCCCGGCTATACGGTTTCACATATTTGTTGGGTTGTTAATCTACTCGTACTATTTTGAGCTAGAGTGTAAAGTCCATCGCATTAGGCATTATAAGTAGAGATCAGTCTATGTGAATCTTAAAACCGGAAAGCTAACATTCGTTCATGCTACCTTTGACCCGCAGATGTTATACAAGAGAGGTAGATATTGCAATACGTGCAAAACATGTCTCAAACAAATCTTAACAGATATTTAAAAGTAAGCTTAAGGCCAATCGAATGTATAACAAAAGTTTCATTGCAATTATGGGTGAACTTTAGAAAAGTGTAAAAGCGCCTTGCGAACAAATTAAAACAGATCCTTGAACATGAGTTAGAGGCCGATCGGACGATAAACAAATTAGTTGCTCATTAATCAGTCAGTGAGTCAGTCGGCGCACAGTTTTAAAGATATATAAAGAGAAATAAAAATGTGAATTGGTTCACACGCACCGCAGCTGTTGTATGATCGACAACTTTCTTGGTGGTTAAATCACTTTTGTTGCCCACCAGCAACTTGTTAACATTTTCGCATGCATATCGCTCGATTTCCTCTAGCCATTGCTTGACATTATTGAAGGACTCCTGATCCGTGCAATCGTAAACAACAATGATGCCATGCGCGCCACGATAATATGATGATGTGATGGTACGGAAGCGCTCCTGTCCAGCAGTATCCCACTACAAACAGAAACGGGATTTAGTATATATTCGATGGATGGATCTCTCTCTCGCTCTCTCTCTTGACCAAAAACCTACAATTTGCAATTTAATCGTTTTGCCATCCAATTCTATAGTTCTAATTTTCTGTAAAGGAAAAAAAACAGCTTTGTTGAGTCACAGTTTTATGGCTAGATATAGGTTGAGCACTTACAAAGTCCACGCCAATTGTGCTGATGTAGCTCTCTGTATATGTATCATCGGCAAATCGGAGCAGCAAACAGGACTTTCCAACGCCAGAGTCGCCGATCAACAGCAGTTTGAAAAGATAATCGCTGTAAAACAAAAAAACAGAAAAATGTGCGTTACTCAAGGCATATTTTCCCCCCATCATATCGCGCTATTAAAATGCGCGTCACGAATTTGTTTATCTTATCACGTACCCAGTTGAAACAACCTGCTAATACTCATTGTTTGACATCTAATCTGGAAGGTCCCTTCTATGGGGCTAATGCTTATGCAGCTGCATATACAGTGGAAGCTCGATTGAGCGAATGTTAAGGGAGGAATTTGTTGATAATAATTTTACATATTTCTCTGTATAATAATGATAAATAAATGTGGGGATACTTCACAGTTTTTTATTTCAATTTGTATAATTGGTTTTCTTTATTAGTTTACTTTTTTAAGTAGGGAAACAAATTAGGACTTCAAAACTTGGAGAGAGCTTCGTCCAAGCAACTTTCACTGCATTATTTACGAGTAATTAAGAGGGAGACGTCAAGCATTTCAAGTTCAATTGCAGTGAAAGAAAACATAAAACATTCAGCATAGATGGCAATTTGATTACGTAGCAGCAGCAGCAGCAGAGAACAACACAACAACGACGCAGCGTTAAGCAGTCAAACAACAACAAAGTGTACGCTAGAGAGGGGGTTGAGGACGCTGGGCAGGTGACTCATCCGCCCCGCAAAATAACAGCGCAGAGCTAAAACCTAGCCAAGGGCTGGCTGGCTGGCTGACTGACTGGCTGGCTGACTGTCAGCAACATTTACAGCGATTCAAAAGCCAATCAGAGAACTTGGATTTCTCCAATTGCTCCACAATTAATGAAAACATACATACACACATTCGTATACTATATACACATCATATAACCGTTATAGTTGTATCCAAATTTTTTTACTCGGAAACGTACTAAAATCGTATGTTGTTTTTTTTTAAATACTCGTTTAAAGGGTGTGGGGCTGCGGTGACTACTAAAAAGTCGTCGTGGACGTCGCAAAAATGACGTCGCAGAAACGCAAAAGAATGAAAAAAAAAGAAAGAAAAAGGTGACCAGTGCTGGGTTATGGAACGCGGATGAGTGCAAGGTTTTTCATTGTTCAAGTCAATATCTCAATTACGCGCAATTAATGCATGTGAACGACTTACTATTCTGGATTCATAGATGACATGTTTTTCGTTTTGGGTTTTTGTTCAAGTTTGTATTATTTTTTTTTGCCACGAACGAAATATTCGATTTCGCTTGAGCTGCTCGTTAACTGGCGAGTCGTCTGACGGGTGTCTCTAATTTCGATTGGCGGCCTCTTGTTACGAAATAACGCGCACTGTGCACTTGTGTACTCCAAAATTGTTTATTTTTCTAACTTCTATTTGTATTTATTGCAACGAATTTAAGGGAAATTCGATAATTTCCACAAAATTCGACAGCCGAGAACGAGAACAATGGCGACTGAAAAAATGACGAAGTGGCATGTAGTGTGGTATAGTGTCGTCAGTTGTGCCAGCGTAGTGTTGTTAAACGCAGTGGCCAGGGCTGCATCAGCCACTGCTATCAGCAACCTCCGCTTTGTGGGCGGTAACCACCTACAAATGTACATACATATTTACATCCGCCCGCCTGTGTGTATGTAGTTATTCACTTATCAGTAATGCTTATTGGATTATTCTTTAATACTTGCAATTGCAATAATCTCTTATCATAAATTATTTGATTCTAAACACATCATTTAACATTTGAGAGTTGTTTTGCTTGCATATAGAACACATGTAGATAAATAGTACATAATATTATATGAGGATTCGATAAGCGGGCTATGGGGAATGCATCGTTTTAGTGGGTGGATCCGCTATTTCCACTATTCCAATGAGTTCAATGTTAGCAGCTGTTTGAGCACTTTTGTCTGTGAGGTTTCGCGTATCTCGCCAGCCAAGAACATCTCGTCGACAACACTGTACACTTTGTAGAAATTAAAGACGAGATCCAGCTCGCACACATTATGGAAGTACTCGTTCAGCACCTCCACAAAATTATGAATGGCCTCCAGATAGCACAGATTATTGTCATTGACGTCCACGCAGATGCAAAAGTAAAGACCCGCATAGCGTCTGTACACAATTTTGAAATTACGGAACTGTGGACCAAGAGCTAGTTAGTATATGTCTTGGAATATATATTTTAATGCTCCCCATATTACCTCTACGAAGTTGGTGTGCTTGGCATCCCGCACGGTGACTACGGCGTGCACTTCTTCAATTAATTTTTGTTTTTCGTCGTCATCAAAGTTCATATACCACTTGGCCAAGCGAGTTTTGCCCGCACGGTTTTGTATAAGTATAAATCGTATCTGAGCGGATGATAAACAATATTATTTCTATTCAATGAATTGGTAAACATTATGCTTACCATTTTAGAGTATGTGTGTGGGTAATTACTTGAGTAATTACTCGGCTATTTACAATTTTCAGCTATGAACACAGCGAAAAAACTGATTACGAACAAATGTGTATCACTATTGCCAGGGCTGCTGCAGCTGGCGAACAGCTGTTAAGCGGATCAGTGTTGCATATTGCTCGAATGTCCACGTCAGTTGGCAACGCCACTCTTGAATACGATTACGACGTTTTCACTTTTTATATTTGTTTAGGCCCAACTTGAAGCTAGTCATTAACACCTCAATTACCAAAAAATGTTGACGTCGCGCTTGAACCTCTGGCCGCGCCTTCAGTTACTGCGCAAATGCAGCACTACATCATTGGGCCAACAGAAACAGGCAGCCGTCGAAATCCACGATCCTTTGCAGGCGCACGCCCTCAAAGAGCAGTGCATTCTGGTCGACGAGCACGACAAGGCCATTGGAGCTGCCACCAAGGCCGACTGCCATCGTGTGCAGCCCGGAACGGGTGACGTAAAGCTGCATCGCGCCTTCAGTGTGTTTCTGTTCAATTCGAAGGGCGAGATGCTTGTACAAAGGCGCTCCGTGCACAAGGTGCGAGTTTGAGTGAACTCCAGCTAGATCCTTTTGATATCAAGCGATCTTTCCATTTCAGATTACTTTTCCAGACACATATACGAATGCCTGCTGCAGCCATCCCTTGCATGACATCGAGCAGGAGCGACAGGAGTCGAATGCCCTGGGCATACGTTTGGCGGCCCAACGTCGTTTGAACTACGAACTGGGCATACCCACAGATGAAATAAAGCCCGAGAACTTTAACTACCTAACGCGCATACACTATGCCGACAGAGGGGACGGCGTCTGGGGAGAACACGAGATTGACTATATACTCTTCCTCCAAAAGGATGTCACACTAAAGCCCAATGCCAACGAGGTCAGCGAGGTGCGCTTTCTGAAACGCGACGAAATCGACGAAGCGATAGCTAAATTTAGTGCACCCTTGACCCCCTGGTTTGCATTAATATTGCGTCATCGGCTCAAACAATGGTGGGACAATTTGCATAGACTAAAACAGTTGGAAGACTTGCAAAATATACAACGCTTTTGAGAACTCAACACACAATACACGATCGAAGACGCTGCAAGATGTTGCAATCAAGCCAAAAATATATATGTGGAACCTCAGTTTTGTTATACCTTTGCCAGCGAAGTAGACATTGCCAACATCATAAAGTACTATAATACATTCTTAACGGCCTAGTCGATGTAGCCACTTTCTTCCATCTAGTCTGTGCTACCGGAAGCTACCATAGGCGTTATTGGTCAAGGGTTATTCAATGAATGCTTCTTTGTTTTTCAAGATATCTCAATTATAATCACTCATAATCTCATCAATATCGAACGATTGTATCATATTATTGCCATAGCACCGATCAGCTGAAAGTAGATTTTTTTATGAATTATATAAATTTAAGTTAAGTATAGAAATATGTCGCGCATATATCATATAGATATATAGAAAGTTCTTTATAGTTTTTATTTAAATTCGCTTTATTTGTATTCAAATGGAAAATAGTGTGTGTTTGGGGTATTCATGCACCTCCGTTTAGTTGATCAGTTCAGTACAACGTATAGAGCATCACATATGTTTGAATAATATGTAAATATAACAAAATATAGTGTATGTATATATGGTGTATGTATTATCATAGCACTAGCTAAATGTGTGTTGTTGAATATTATATAAATATATATATAGCTCATAAAATGATCACATCACGTTTACCATAATAATCATCATCATCAATCTCCTCCGCAACGAACAACAAAAATAAATATTTACAAAAGTATGCACTACAAAACTAAACGAGAGACTTAATAGGTTGGTATACAAAAGGTGCCCTAGCTAAAATCAACCTTAGAACTAAAGACAAAAAATATCTGTATGAAAATTAAACAATAATATATAGCTGCAGCGTTTTTAACAGTCACGAAGCGCGCGCTTCGCAGTGTGAAACGGTAGCAGGCGCAAATTGATTTTTTTCGTACCCGCTACCGCTCCACTTGGCACCACCTTGGCACCGATTTGTTTATTAGTACAAAGTAAACAAAGCCTTTGCTTACGAAATACCAACAACTTAAACCTATGTTTGCAAATTAAGACAGAACAAAAATTCGCACTAACAGTATAAATAGGAGGGAGGTTTTTTCTTGCAAGTCGCATGCGAATGCGTCGTAGTTGTGTGTGTGTGTGTGTACGTTTTTATGGGTATAGCTCGTGTGTGTATGTATGTGTTTAGGTCAGGGCTTAGCACATCCTGAATTCGATTAGGTTATAAGGCACATGATGTGAGTCTGTCGTGAATCTCAGGCTTGTTAAATTTGCTTAAAGTGCTGGGCACTATTTAGGACAAGCCGAACAGCTTCAAAGCATTGAAGGCAGTTGCCAGGGCGACCTCATCCGGCGTTTTCTTCATGAATGCAGCAATCATTTCCACAATTGCCGGCAGGCTGCACGGCTCATTACGTTGAAAGGTGCAATATCTGGAATACGGAATGTAAATTAAACAAAAATAGCAAGTGTTCTAATCGGAAATGCCCGACTAGAAAGTACCCTGAATCGGAAATGCGATCTAACTTTGATAGTTAGATTCCGAGTTTATAAAATTGGCAGGCTCTGAATGTAAATACCAAAGGACAGGGCTCTAAGCCAGCTCGTCGTGTCGCTCAAGAATATACTTTACGGGGTCGGAGATGTCTCGATCCGCCTGTTGCATACATATGCACGCAACCAATCTACCCTTTAACCCATTTTCAATGGGTAGCATTTCAATTCGAAATCCCACCTGTGTAAGTACAACAATGAGCGTTCCGTAATGCCACTCTTCACATGCTGTGGCAGTTTGGAGGCTCTCGTATTTGGATACATAAATGGCGCATCAGTTTCCACCAGCAGTCTGTCCAGTGGCAGGGTGCCATTATCGAGCAGCCGGCGCACGCCAGTATCTGACTTGTCCTTGCACAGATAACCAGTTAAGCTGATGTAGAATCTGCGATCCAGATACTTGAGTGCCTCCTCAGCTGTGCCCATAAAACCTCTGATAATCACAGGCGGTAGATTCTCGAATCTGCAAGTGTGTGAGCACCATATTATGACCCAAATTAGTAATAATATTTCTTCCACTTACGTGTCGAGTATTTCGAGTACATCGTGCTGAGCCGATCGCTCGTGTATTAGCAGAGGTTTCTTCAGACGTATTGCCAAATGCAGTTGCTTGGCAAATATCTGTTTTTGCACATCCGGCTCGGAGAAGTCGCGCTGATAGTCCAGGCCGCAAGGACCAATCGCCACGCACTCCTGCGCCTGTGCAATGTGCTCAAAGTCGAACCATGTGGACGGCTCCTCCACAATGGACTTTGAGTCGTGCGGATGTATGCCAGCAGTCGAGTATATAATGTCGGGATAAATGCGTGAAAGCCGCAGCGCTTCCTTGCTAGATTTGACCGAGGTGCCGTGGACCATTAATTTCTGAACACCTGAAAGAAAGTGAGTGAAAGTGAGCACATATTCGCATAAGCAGGGTTATGTACAGTGAAGCTCCTTTGAGTGCTAATCAATCACTTTTTAATGATAGATAAATGGGATCTTTTAATGATAGAGTCGTCCGATCGAAGGGTATTATAAATGGGACTACAAAAATAGGACAGCTAAAGGAGATGTTTGTGCCAGGCAGAGCTTTCACTGTATATGTTGCACTTATGCAGGCCAATTCATACACACAGACGCAGGTGCGTCGCACACACACACACACGCACATGTTGCATGCTAATCGCCCCTCTGCCGACGCTTGACCTTCTTAATGTGTGTGTGTGTGTGCTCTCGCTGACCACTTGCCGCGCCCAACGGCAGCTGTCATGTATTATTATTAGTCTTATCGCACTTCTTCCTCTTGTCTTGTTTTTTTTTTCGATTTGTGTGCCAGATATTTTGAACAAACCTGCGTCTCTTGCCCTTTGGACAACGGAATCCAGATCACGGCTATACTTTTTGTTGGTCAAATTGGCGCCCACGTCGATGACAATGAGGTTCTCAAAGCAATGCTTCATGCTGTCCTCAATGTCCAGTTGCTCCTCCTCGAGAGCTGCGGTTGCTGCGGCCACCACAGGCGCCACTTGTTGTTGTTTTTGCTGTTGTTCCATTATGTATGTAAAAGAATGCTTGTACGAAAATAGCAATGACGTAGACAGACAAGAAGATGCTTTGTCTTTGTGTAATTTAATTAGCTTTCGTTAGCACAAGGAACCGCTGCGGTTATGCGTACGGCAAGAATATCTCGCTCTTTTTATTGGAATATTTTAACCAAAGACCAAATAAGCAATTAACAGATGAAACGTTACAAATTAATAAAAATAAAAACAAATCCCGACACGAACTACGACTGCTGGCAAATGTTATCGATGTTAGTAATGCGACATCGGCATGTGAAACTATCGACTGCGAAACTATCGATTAATGCATACAATTAATCGTTGGCGTTCGATGTGCGCAACAATTGTTGTTTTTTTTTTATCGATTAATGCAGCGCAGTATTTGAAAAAGTAACAAAAATGTTTTTTCTTTTTTAAAGGAATACTAGAATCTTTCTCCAACGGGCTTGATAATCAGCTCATGAATCTGAACGTTGGGCGGCGTCTGGATGCAGTAGGCGACCGCATCGGCCACATTCTCGGGTCGCAACATGGGCATTTTAGCCAGCACTTCCGGTGAGTTTTTGTCAAAAATTTCCGTATCAACAATGCCTGGACTGATGCTCTGCGGGGTATTAAAATGGCTAGAGTTTCATCAAGAATAAACCGAACAATACTTACTGTAATCTTAGTCATGGTGCCCTTATTCAGGAACTCCTGGCGTAGAAACTCGCTCAGTGCAGTGACAGCATGCTTCGAAGGTGCATACATGTTGAAGCTAAAGCCAGGATTCATGGGCACTCCGTGCCCGGCAACACTATTGATAATAAGCACATGCCCATCGTTTATCCGACGTCGCTGCATCGAGTGAAAGGCCTCGCGTGTGCACCAGGTAACGCCCAATACGTTGGTATTTAATATATCCCGCAGATCGGCGCTGTTTCCCTCGTCGACTATGTGCACGCGGCGCACAATGCCCGCATTATTCACTAGCACATCCGCACCGCCGAGAGTCTCATCGATCCAGGCAAACGAATCAATCACCTGTTGCTCAACACTCACGTCACACTGGCGGCCATAAAAGTGTGCAGCCTGTTCAGCAGGCAGAGATGCCTTTAGCTGCTCTAGTCGATCCAGACGACGTGCCAGGCCCACAGCAATCATGCCCCTTGCAACCAGATCCTTGCAACATTCGGCACCAATGCCCGAGCTGGCGCCAGTGACAACAGCGACGCGATTTCTCCAGCGATCCATATTCAACAAAATAATTACTATTCAAGCTAAAGTCCATAAGCTGCGTAAGACGTCTCGTCGACAAATGATTGTTCTTTATGTGTTTGTGTCTAACAGCAACAAAAGGTTGGAAATCTCACAGGTGTTTCTACACCTGGAAAAACCAACACATCAGTCCGGAATTTGAGTCTAGCCCAGCTTATGGAAAATAATGTGAGTTTTAAGAATTAGAGCTGGTCTATAACATTTGTTCTCTGTACATTATGCTTTAAATTACATATGTATAATGAAATATATATATAAGTTCTTATCCTCATACCATATATTCACTAAAAATCTATTATCTCTTATCTTATGTATAATGTTAGTTTTAGGAAAAAAAAAGCTGGTCTTATAATTCAAATTATAAAATTTTCTTCGCTATACATTGAACTTTATACCATATTTTAAATAAAAAAAATATAAATATTAATATAAGTACTAATCCTCATATATATATTATCTCTTATCTTATGTATATTGTAAGTTTTAAGAAAAAATTATAATTAAAATAATAACATTTTCTTCGCGAAAAAATTGAACTTTATACCATACTTTAAATCAAATAAAATAGAATATAAATAATAACTAATCCTCATATATGGCATTCACTAAATATCTATTATCTCTCATCTGTTTATCTACGAAGACAAAAAGATAGCTTGGATAACTTGGAAACGGGGCAAGTTATCGACTATCGGAAACAAACTCGATCTGCGCGGGGACTAGGAGGACCTACAGCTAAAATTTCAAGTCTCTAGCTCTTATAGGCTCTGAGATCCTTGCGTTCATATATAAGGACGGACAGATGGACAGACAGGCAGACGGACATGGCTAAAGCGACTCGAAGATGCTTCCTTCTGCCTGTTACATACATTTGCACAAATACATTATACCCCATTTACCCATTTTCAATGGGTTCAGGGTATAAAAAGTCAAAGGGATTGTTTGTTTTTAATATAATAATGTATTACATTTATTTCTGCTAATATGCGTGTATCTTTGGTGTTATTTGTAGCTCACATACATATCTCTCCCTCTATATATATATATATTGTTACGTAAATGTATGCTATTGATGTCATTATATATGCATATTGTATAGCTTGATAACATATTGATTTTATTTATTTTTTTGTTTATATTTTTGTCACACAATAATATTAAACATAATCTCGCTTGCATATTTTGTTTATCTAATATTTGAATTTATTGTAATTTTAAAACTTATAGTTCAATTCGTTTATTCGATAAATATTACTTATATATCATTACCAATTGTAAATCTTTTTTCTTTTTTTATATATATAAATTTTGTGTATGTGTGAAAGGAAAATATTTGTATTAGTATCCATTACCATATATAACTGTGTAAAATGAATAGATAAACATATAGAATAAAAACAAGAGGTTCTAGTCGGGAGCTCCCGACTAGGGGATACCCTGAACCCTCTTCTTCCAACAGGCCATAGGTATAAAATAAAAGATACTTGATATATATATATATATTTCTAGAAGGTACATCTCAAGTTTGGTGACTCTAGCTCATATCATTTACCAAATCGATTTTTATCGATAACTTGGAAACGGGACAAGTTATCGAATATCGGAAACAAACTCGATCTGCGCGGGGACTTGGAGGACCTACAGCCAAAACTTCAAGTCTCTAGCTCTTATAGGTTATGAGATCCTTGCGTTCATACATAAGGACAGACAGACGGACAGACGGACGGACAGACGGACAGACAGAGGGACATAGCTAGATTGACTCGGCTGTTGATGCTGATCAAGAATATATATACTTAATGGGGTCGGAGATGCTTCCTTCAAATACATAATACCCTTTTTACCCATTTTCAATGGGTACAGGGTATAAAAATATTGCTAAGAATAATTATTGCAATAATAGTTAATGATTAAAATAAAATAATAGTAATGAATGGAGAGGTGTACAGCTTGTAATAAAAATAATTACTGCATGAATCATATGTATTGATACATCTATATAATATATATAATATATATGTTATGTATTTTTATATATATTTATAATTTATTGATATTTTCTGGTTATTTTTTGTGGGCTTCGTTTTTGGTTTTTTGTTTGTAGTTTGCATTTTTTGTAGCCACGCTCTAGACGCTGGGAATTGGTATAATCTCATTAATATTGGGCTTATTGAAGCTTGAAGCTGGGCCAACTCGGGTTGGTCTCAATTCTTATTGTTTAAACTAAATCCTGGTTAAAATTGTAGCTTTTTTTTAAAGCGTGCCAAAAACAGCGCCTAATGCTATATGTTTTTTTTTTATGCTTTTTTTTAACTTGATACGAATATATAGTATATATTTATATATAAATGTTTCGTTTACAGTTATTACTTGACATTTATAAAATTTTGGCTAACAATAAAATTGCATAGTTCTCATTATGTATATCTATATATATATATATATATATATGTGTGTGTATATATATGTTTGTAGTTCCATAGTTACATATATATGCTTGTATATATAGCTTAGTTGTTAGTCATTTATTAAAATTGTTTATCGTTAACGTTTTCTTAATTTCTTTTGGTGTTTAGTACTTAGAACGAATTATGTTTCGATTTTCGATTATTGTTTTTATTTAGTGATACGTTTTAGTGCGAATGCTCGGACAGCTTGTTCCACCTGCCTACCTGTGCCTACCCCTCCCCTAAGAGTAGTTACCCCAAACCAAGAAAAATAAATTTAAAATATATATATTTATATTTATATATATTATTTCAACTTCAACTGCTCTCGGACAGCTTGTTCCACCTGCCTACCTGTGCCTACCCCTTCCCTAATAGTAGTTACCCCAAACCAAGAAAAATAAATTAAAAATATATATATTTATATTTATATATATTATTTCAACTGCTCTCGGACAGCTTGTTCCACCTGCCTACCTGTGCCTACCCCTCCCCTAAGAGTAGTTACCCCAAACCAAGAAAAATAAATTTAAAATATATATATTTATATTTATATATATTATTTCAACTTCAACTGCTCTCGGACAGCTTGTTCCACCTGCCTACCTGTGCCTACCCCTTCCCTAAGAGTAGTTACCCCAAACCAAGAAAAATAAATTTAAAATATATATATTTATATTTATATATATTATTTCAACTTCAACTGCTCTCGGACAGCTTGTTCCACCTGCCTACCTCTATGCGCCACCCTTCCACCTGTTGTGGCCTTAAGAGTAGTTGCCTAAACCAAGAAAAAGAAATTAAAAATATATATATTTTTTATTTCAACTGCCCCTCCCCTTAGAGTAGTTACCCATACCAAGAATAATAAATTAAAAATATATATATATATTTATATTTATTATTTTTTCAACTGCGCCCGGACAGCTTTTCACACCTGCCTACCTGTGCCCCTGCCCTAAGATTAGTTACCCAAACCATGCAAAATAAATTAAAAATATATATATTTTTATATATTATTTCAACTGCCCCGTAAACATTTCCATGGTCGACTGTTGCCGCTTTGTGCGCTTCGTAATGCTTACCTCCCCCCTCCCCCCCAGAATTAACCATATAACTCTCCGGCTGGTCAACCCCTATATCTCTATATCTCTAATGTCGCAATTCGATTTCGTTTCTCGTTTCTCGTTTCGGCTTGTGTAAAACTCTAATAAAATTGATTATTGTTGCTTGATAGATACGTAATACATATATATTGCTTATTCCAAAATCAATACAAATATATATATTCATATTCATATTTCTTTAAATATATATATGCATGCATGCATTGTATATATATAAATTGTAAGAATTGTTCATACAAAAATTTAGTAGGTACGTTACTTTAGACCTCGGTGTTTCTCAAATTTGTTCTTTGATACTGGACATTCCTTTCTTTTTTTCACTCTTCGCTTTCGTAGAAAATGTTTAGCCGGGGATTCCCCCCCCCCCCAGAGACCAAAATTTTTGTTTCGGCTGGGCTCTCCCGCGGCTAGTAAAAAATTGCACTCCCCTCAAGTATTTGGTTTCGTTTCGTTTCGTTTAAGCAGGCTGCGTTTCGATATTTATAGCAAATATGACGAGTACAAACAATCTTAAAAACTGCGAATATACAGGGTAGTTGTATGCATGTGTGTGTGTGTGTTCGTGTGTGTGTAGAACTATTGGAACACGTATAAAACATCTAATAACTATGTTAGCTTAGGTGCATTGCGTGTATCTCTCTCTTGTGTGTGTGTGTGTGTGTGTGTGCCTAACTAAGCGATCCCAGTTGTGTTTATACACTTGCAGAGGGTATTTCGATTTTGTCTTAAGATACATATATATTCTTGATTCGGATGAAGTTGTAAGTACTTATAGGTAGTTACTTTTACTAGTCTCAGTTTTAAATCGATATTATATTGTATAGGCGACATATCTCCGCCCAGTTTATTTTGTCTGCGGAATTATGTCGCTTTTTCTGGCTAGATTATGGCCTTTTAAAGCGACATATCTCCGCCGAGATCTAAAAAAGACATCTCCGCGGAGATATGACGCTTGGAAACGACATACTTCGCACGGAAATAAATCGTTCATAGAAGGGCGGAGTTATATTTTTTCCTTATTTTTTTTTAAGATATACTTTTTTGTTAAAAAGCTTTTAATGTCGCTGTTGCCAAAAAAAAATACTTTATTAAATTATATATTTGACGGGCATTTGAACCAAGGTTCTCCAATTTGTCAGGCTAGCTTCATTCTGAGCTAATCCTGCTTTGACGACGGAGAGAAGTCCTGCGACATATTATATCTTAAAGGAACATTCGATTGAAATCAGTTTTAGTTACCTGAAGAACTTTCTATTTAAAAATTCTTAAACCCACTTGACAATTACAAGATTTAATATGCTATTGAAATTGAAAGCGAAATCCCATCAACATCGAACTATTATTTTATATAATTCCCATCGGACTATTATATCATATAACTCCCATGGAAGCGATCTGTCTTAGAAAAAAGGTGTGTATAGAAACTTTTTTGTTTCCCAAGACTTATAGACTAAGTAGAATCCCATTTTTATCGGACTACTATATCATATATCTGCCAAAGGAACAATCGAAAGAAATGTTTTTTTTTATGTTCAACTACTTTTTTCTCATTCAAGATATCTTAACCCAGGCCTATTGAGTTTGAACCGGCTTGAACCATACAAATTTAATATTTATTTTTTACTGTTTTTAAACATAAGCTATCAAGTCTGCAAGAGTATTAAATCGTCGGCATGCCGAAGTTAACTGGGCCAACCTGGTTTTCTTGTCTATGTCCTAATAAGTTCCGCCCCCAACCCAACCCGTTAACAAATTGGTCCGACCTCTGGCGCGGCTGCCGCCTGGCTCTGAGCTCCCAGCAATCGGCCAACTTCTATCACAGTCTGGCAGGCGGTGCCCCTCATCCTGCTGCTCCGCTCTCCAAGATTTGGTGTTCGAGTGTGTGTGTGTGTGTGTGTGTGTGGGAGTGTGTGTAGATAGATATATTCATGCTCAATCTGTGGCCTACTCATACAGCTCGACGTTGCGGCGGGGCGAGGCGGAGGAGGAGGAGGAGGAGGTGCCGGTGCCGTAGCTGAGCTGCGAATCGGTCTTCTTCAGTATGGAGACATGGTGTGTGGGCGCATCGCTGGACCGGTTGGTCATCAGCGAGTCCTGTTTGTGGAGCAGACCGCGTCGCTGGTCGGCAAACGAGATGACCGAGTCCTGCTTGACCAGCTGATGGCGCCGTGGCTCCGGTCGCTGGTCCACAAAGCTAATCACCGAATCCTGTTTGACGAACTTCTGCCGCTTGTCCAGCAGGGATGCGGGCGTGGCTGTGGCCACGCCGCGACGCGACTCAATCGATATGGTATCCTGTTGGGTGAGCGCCGAGTCCACGGAGCGCTCCTGGGCGGCGAGTGCGGCGACGCGGCGCGATTCCATGTAGGAGACAATCGAGTCCTGCTTGGAGAGCGACACCTTGCTGCCGTTGCTGTCCTGCTGGCAGAGCAGGCGACGCGTGCCGGAGGCGTCGCTGCAGGAGCTCTCCTGCTTGATGAGGAACTGCCGTGAGCCGTGCGAGTCCTGCTTGAGCAGCATCTGCTGCGACAAATTGCTGTCCTGCTTCATCATCAGATTGTGGCGCCGCAGCGAGTTGTGCTCGTAAATGTACGAGACGGCGTTGGTCTTCCTCAGACCCGGGCTGCTGGGACTCTTGCGCGAGCCATTCGGATGATAGTGCGAGGACTTCCTTGTGCTGGTCGTAGACGAGGCAATCGCCACATTGTCATAGTATCTACAAATGGAGGAGGGTTAAGTGGGTAAGTTATGGGAATATTTGATGATGGATCAACTAGAGCCCTGCATCGATTTAAGCGAATCGCGTTTCGAGTACTCGCACAACTGTTTCGTTCGAACGAATCAATCAAATTTTCGGCTCGAGTTGTTCGAGTTGCAGCCAAAAATTGCAGTCGATCGACTTAATTGAAAGTTCTAGTCAATCGTAAAATAGGTGCAACCAGATCGAGAAACTTAACTATGTCGATTGTGTTTGAGTTAAGCGTTTTTTGTGCGTACCGAACAATGTGCGCGTCGAACATGTTGCGACTCGAGTTGCTCGAACTTCCATTGATTGAATGGCTTCGGATATTTTGTCTGGTAAGTTCGATACTCAAAAGCCCGGGCTTGTCGGTTCGAGTAAGCGAGTTTGATTGAATGATTTATCCGATGCAGGACTCAACAATTGAATGGACACTCACCTGAGTCTGCCGCAGCAGCTGCGCGACTTGATGATGGCCGCAAAGCCGCGTCGATATTTCTTGTTGACCGAGTAGAGAATGGGATTGATGCAGCTATTCGAGGAGCCGAGCCACTGGGCCAGCGGCATCACCTTCTTGAGTATCTCGAACTCCTCCTGCGATATGTCCGAGCCGAACTTGATGCGCGCAAAAATCACATAGAGCGGCAGCCAGGACAACACAAACAATATGACAACGGCGACCAGCATTTTGATGACCTTCACCTTGCTCTTCTGCTGCATGCGGTCCATCTGTGCGTCCTTGGACAGCTCGCCAGGTATGCTGCGCGTCGAGACCTTGATCCAAATCAGAACGTAGCACAATGTTATCAGCGACATCGGCAGCAAATAGCAGGCCACCAAATTGGCCAGCAGAAAGTACAAATTGCCATCGGTGCCCGGTGGCCAGACCTCCTGGCACAAATACTGCGGCTGCGCATAGGTGGAGACGAGAGCATCCGAGAAGACCTCCTCCGCGGGCACCAAATCGAAGAACAATAGCCACGGGATGGTGGTTACCAATGCGATTACCCAAATGCCGATTATCATGATGCGTGCACGTCGCTTTGTCATCTGCTTCAATGGCCACCAGATGGCAATGAACCTGCAAGAGAAGTGCCAACAAAGAGCTTTAAACAGCTGCCGATGCCGCCTCTCCGTCAAGGATAATGGCGAGATGACGACACGGTTTCAAAATAGAAAGAAAGACGAGCCATGCAAATATCTTAGCCTTGATTAATTCGCAACACGCTGGATGCCATCGCAGCGGCGCATCCGTTAAGCCTTTTTCTGCTGACTGCTCGACTTTCCAATCCCGTCTATTGAACTCGACAACACGTGTGCGTCCCCCCCCCCCGCATATCCCCGCCGCATACCCCATGCTCACCATTTTTTACTTGGCCTGCCATAATCAAGCGTAATTTGAATAAGAGCAGCAGCAGCTAGCAGAAGGGATAGGGAGGGGCAGGACTCTTGCGGGTTTTCATTTGGCTTAGTGCTAGCCACTTATTATGGCGCCCCATTCGATAGACCAGCCGCAAAACAAGCGAGAGTGCTCGACTGGCAGATACCCTGCAGCCAGCAGAGCTTGATAACATTCTAATTTTCTTCTGTAGAAGTTGGTTTCTCTCTCTCCCTGAGCCCCTACTCAAGAGACTGTACACAGCGAGAAAAACGGTGGACTTTTTGTACTTGATTCTATACGAATCGAGATAAAAACTCTTGAATTAAGCGTGATTCGTAAATAATTTCATATAAGCTCTAGAAAGGTCTTTAAGTAAGTACAAAAATTCTTGAATCAAAAAATACAAAAAATATAAAAGAAGTTATTTTAAGTAGTATTTGTACTTAATTTAAGAACATACATATATGTTCTACGGTAACTTCGGTGCTTGTTGTCCGATCTTTATGAAATGTGTGGGACATAAATATGGCTTCCAAATAGGTGTAAAATCTATGACCCACGGCCTAACCCGCACTCTAGGGAATGTATGTTCTTTAATAACTTCGGTGCCTGTTGTCCGATCTTTATGCAATTTTTAGGACATTAATATGGCTTCCAAATGCGTGTAAATTTCAAAGGTCCAAGGCTATAGCTTTTACAGATAGACAAATATTGGGAATCTCTCTTTATGTTTTCTATACGAAAATCGAAAAATATTCTTGTGAAAAATTTCATAGAAACGAGCCCAGTTATTTAGGTTTGATTTAGAACAACATTATTCTACGCCTGCCATAGGAGGATCTTATTTCTAAATTGCCATATCTCAATCTCATAAATTGCATATCTCAATCTCATAAATCATATCTCAATTTCAAAGATCCACCGACAAACATGGTAAGACATGGAAGATATGCGCTTTATGGCGTCAGAGTAGCCTACTTCTGCCTGTGACATACAGCTGGACACAGCCAAACTACCCCTCCACACACATCTTGCACGTTCCCAGAGTATAAGAAGACGAGCTGCAGTCTGGGCCCGCCCAAAACCAAATAATTACGGCTCCAACTACAGCTCCCGTTTCCATTCCCATTCCCATTCCCGCTCGGGCGCAGCCTTTGTACTATTTTTTGGCCACTTTGGCTGGCGTCTGGCAGGGCGAACGTTTGGCTGATAAGGAGCACAAACGGTAATTCCATTAGGGTCCGGCCACAACTTTTCAAAGCCAATATCAAATTGTCATAAGGTTTATTTATAGACCAACAATGGACCGTGCGAGATATATATATAGAGCCAGATATGGCAATTGCATTAACATAATTTGTCTGCAGGATTTGGTGCTTCTTAATTGAGTTTTACTTGGAGGTCAAACAATGGCCAGCCTGTCCGATCTGCAGCTGGATATGTGATTAAATATTCTGAATTATGGCCAAACGGAAGCTGGCGAAAAGTTTTTGCCCAAAAGTCATTTCCATAAAGAAACAACAAATTTCATAATTGGCCCAAGCAGCCAAGCAATGCTCCAGGCTGGCTTTCTTTATGGCCTTATCATCTAGCCACAAGGAGCGGCCAGAGTGCTCTAGGCGATAGTGCACGACTCGAAGATACCCTGTAGCCAGCTTTGCACTGTTGCAGGGAAGAATGCATGACTGGCAGATAACCTGTAGCCAGCTTTGCGTTGTCGCACGCCAGAATACATGACTGGCAGATACCCTGTAGCCAGCTGTGCATTGTCGCAGGAATGCTCGACTCGCAGATACCCTGTAGCCAGCTATGCATTGTCGCCGCTTGTTGTTCCTTTTAAGAACCGATTCCTCTTTTTACTTTTAGAAGAATTTATTATTGAATTATTTGTCTACTTAAGCGTGGATCGTTCTTTCATTTTGAGGATCTATAGCTGGCACTTATATATCCTACGTATATCCCCAGAATCCTGATTAAGTCTCTTTTAATAAGTTTCCTTTTTACGAAGTCAAGGACAATTAATTAACGTTTGCTATAGAACAACCTGCGTACCCAATTTGATGCCTATTTGCTATTTATAGCAAGACATTCTCGAAATATTGTTGCTGGATATCGATATTGATCGATTTCACGAAAATGCCGAAAGGTTTTCGATAATTATCAAGAATTATTGACTAACATGTGCTATAAGACGAGATATATTTATATATTATCGATATTTATCGATTTCACGAACTAGCCGAAAAGTTATCGAATCTTTGTTCCGGACATAAGTTTTGATGCTGTTAAGGAGTATGCATGCTTTACGGGTTTGAATAAGTCTCCTGCTAGTTACTTGCTTTTAGACAATTAAAATACAGCTGCAATGTTCACAGGGTATTGATTAAATAAGCAAAAATATATTAATTAATATTTAAAATTTATTAATCACATTTTCGATCTTACTAAACTCCTGAACACTATCTTGTGGATAGATAAAGATCTAAAAACGATCTACTTCTACCACTTAGCATACAGGGTATTAAAACTAACTGAAGAATAAGAAATATTTTATGGTTGACATTTGGGCAACTCACACGGAAATTGCCGCAAACACAAAAGCCGCACAGTCATTGGCATAAGACCACAAGTATGTGGGTTTATATGTATATGAATCTTGTGATAATATTTATCAAGGGATGGAGGGAGGGCGGGGGATGAGAGTTGCCAATGCATATCCATAAAACGGAGAGCCCTAATTAAATGGCACTGGCTAAGCGAGTGATAAGCAAGGATGTCGAGCGCTTAAATCCGGGACATTGCGTGCCGATTTCAGTTTCATCATACAGATAATAAATCTTAAATTTCGCATCACTTTACGAGTGCTCGTAAAATACAAAGGAATGTGAGGGACAAGGGACATGGGCCTGGCCTGCGTGTGTGGCTTGACCAAATGATCCAATGATAGAGTATATGTCCCGCAGCTGCCCGGCTGTCGCCTTTGGCGCTGAATAATGACAACAGCAGCAGCTACGCCTGGCTGTGGAGAAGCTGTCCCACAGAAATTGATATAAATGAGAGCTGCACCATAAAGCGGCGCCACTGATTATCCCAGTTGTTGTGGCTCCTGCGTGGTCCTGTTCGCCACACACATGTCAAAATGTTGTCAAAACGTTTTACTACCACTTGATAAATCAACTGTCCGCAGGATTTCTGACTTTATGCGCATAGCTTTGAGCTGTCAAGATATCTGTCGTAGCTTTGTTATACACTCTACCCATTCGAAAATGCTTCAAAAGGGGTATATTAAAGCTGATTGGAGCTGAAGTATGACAATGTAATAAACAAATACAACAATTGAAAATTACTTCTGGATTTGAACCGCCGACCTACTGCTTGCTGGTCCGACCTTCGCATTTTTCCACTTGCAAATTTCCAATCCTTCTCTCACTTTCGACTATAGAGGAAGATCCTGTAAGCTCGCTGCTTTCTGTTTATGTGTAAACCAACTAATTTAATAAACAAATAAAACAATTTAAATCTGGATTTGAACCACCGAACTATAGCTTGCTGGTCCGACGCTCAGACAACTTAAGGCTTGAACTGTGAGTTAACCTTCGAAATCGATAAATATCGGTACGTTTCTTAGACCTTCAAGACATATTAAGAATCTTTCGTATATACAAACCATGAAAAATTCTTTATATATATGCATGCAATACGAGAAGGGTTGATCCTTTCAACTCCTGAAACCTATCGACTTCAATATCGATAAATATCGATACGTTTCTTAGACCATAATCAAGAATCTTTCATATAAGCAAGCCCTGAAAATTCTTGATATGTGTATGCAATATGAGAAGAGTTGATTATTTAAACTCTTGAAACTTATCGACTTCAAAATCGATAAATATCGATACGTTTCTTAGACCCAAAATAAACAATTCTATTCGTATGGCAGACACATATCAAGAATCTTATATATATTCAAAACATAAAAGATGCTCGATATGTGTTTGCCTTACGAGAACAATCGATCAATTTGGCTCTCAAGACTTATCGATACTTATCGATTTTGGGAGGCCCCGGCCTGAATATAAATATTTGAAAGGAAACCTACTTTTAGCCAACTTTAAGTCCCGTAAAATATATTACAATCAGCGATTAAATAGAACAATTTTTAAAGAACGAATTTTTGTAATGTTTTTGAAATGGAAAAGGCAGAAACAGGAAGAAGCTTGCTGGGCAAAGCTGGACACAGGGTATGTCCTATTGGGCCTATTGGGCCAGCGACACCCTTGCCTGATTTTGTATGGAGCAGGAAACACAAGGCGAGCTCAAATGCGGCACAAGGCGAGCGCAACAAAGTCTACGAACATTCTATAAAAATAAATTGAATATATATTTGCCGCCTAATGCCAAATACGGACAAGGCGAGCTATGAACTTGATCTTGAGACGGCGACAATCGGTTACCCGTTTTCCAGTTTTCCCAGTCGCAGCCGGCTTGCATTGAGCTTGACGGCGTTCACTTTTGCAATTAGCTTGAAGCCAGTTCTCCAAAGCTCCTATAAAAGCCCGACTCGACGCGACATTTGACAACAGTTGCAAAACATTTGCTCAGCTCTCAACAAACCCAACAACAAACCAACCAAAAAAACCAACCTACAAAATGTTCAAAGTTGTGAGTATTCCGGGGAACTCGGCTCCCGTCCTGGCTACTTAGTTAAAGGTCTTCCTCCACAGCTGTTCGTGCTCGTTGCCATTGTTGCCGCCGCTCAGGTCTATGCGCATCCCGGCGTAGTAGCCGTGGCGCCCGTTGTCGCCGCGCATCCCGCCGTGGTGCACAGCCCGATCATACACCATGGCGCCCACTCGGTGCACTCGTAAGTGCCTGTCAACAGAAACTAAACGCCGCATTTTTCACGCATTTGCTTTCCAGGCATGTGGTGCATCATCCGGCGCCCGTCAAGGTTCTGCATCCCGTTGTCGCCAAGCCCGTGGTCGCCGTGCATGCCGTGCATGCCGTGAAGCCCATTGTGCCCCTGGTGCCCGTGCATCATGCCGCACCCGCTGTCGTTGTGCATCATTAAGATAACCTAAGCCCGATTCCCAATTCCCAATGCCCGTCGCCCGACTCCCGTTCCCGTTCCCAGATCCCGCCCAAATCCGCGGCAATAAAAGTTCATAGCCACGTAAATTCAAGGTGTTTTTTTTTGTTTTTTGGACTTACCTGTCTAGCGAGACGGCAATTAAGCTGTAAACCGAAGCTGCTACGGAGACACCCTGTATGTAGGGCACAAACTTGCACATCAGCCAGCCGAGCATCCACGCTGGAATGAAAGAAAGGGGGAGGGGGGTGGGGGGTTGGTGTGGTTAGTAAGGGTGTTTATATTGTACATAAACAATGCACAAATTATGCTGAGTAACTCTCGGTCATGTCTATGTCTACTACACGTCGTGGTGGTCCTGGCCTAGCCATGTTTGCGGTCGTCCCGGTTAACGTTCAATGCTTTTTATACCCTTCTGGAGGGTATTTTAGATTGGTCAAGTCATGTGTAACGCATAGAGGAAGACATAAGCTGCACCTATATATTATACTTATCTGAATATTTATAATCATATAGATCATGAAGTTACTATTAAGATAATCGGGCTGTCAAGATATCTTCAATTTTTTTTTTTTATGGTAAAAAAGTATAATTATTTTATTATTATTAAAAAGATCTCTCCTACCTAATATTGGCAGCTAAAGCTACATATATATAAATATCTTCTCTAAAAACTTCCCAATTCTCATTTTAAAATGTCTCGATAGAATTGAGCCTAAATTCGTGTGCATATGCTTCCTATATAGGAGCCTAGATCATATGGAATTATCGGACTTAAAAGATATCTTCTCTTTTTTTTTTTTGAAATGTCTATATATATTTTATTATTATTAAAAAGATCACAGCTCAAGCTAGTTATATATAAATCCTTCCCATTTCTTCCTCAATTCTCCTCACTCTTATTTTAAGGGTATCTTATATTCGACTTTGGCTAATAGCCATTATTACTTGTCTATTTTTTTGGTTGGTCGTCCACGTTGTCGTCGTCGTCGTTATCGTTGTTTGCTGACTGAGATTTATGTGCTGCATATCATTCATAATTTGGTGACAAGTCTCAGATTGCCAAGAAGCCAGCGTGAGGCATTGTTTGCCAGAAGGGGGGCGCAGCCCCTGGCCAACAGCCCCCAGCTGGCCAAGTTAATTTGTATTCCCTTTATTCTATTTGATGGAAGACATGATTGTCTCTGTCTATAAAGGCACACACACACACACACACACACACTCATGGAATGTACACTCTGCGAAAGCAGCCAGGAATTTGGTACTTTAATCAAGAACAAGCTGAGAAATTTCTTAACCTGAGCTGACATTTGTTTTAAAACTGAAATTCCTGAATCCTAGACTACAGCACATTACTCTGTCTCGCTCTCTATCTCTCTCTCTCTCTCTCTCCCTCCCGTCCTCTGGGAATTGTTGTATTGCACTCTGAGAAATTCAAAGAGTTAAGTATAAAAATTCTTAAATACCTCCTTAAATGTTGTACCTATTCAAAGCAAACGCACTTGAAGAAAATAAATTAAAATTTTGCACTCAAATTAAGACATAATATATATATATATGAAAATATATATATATTTTATATATTTCTTTTCGTATATATAGTTTTCTTGAATATGAAACTTAACTATTTTTAATCAATTAATAGCCTAATTCCACTGTCAACATATTATTACATTTTTTAAAATGTGAAAAATGTGAAATATGTTGCCTATACGTTTTCCCATAAAAAAATACATTTTTCACATTTGCAATAAATGTTGGTATTAGCCCCGAATAATTCGTTTTTTTTTTGTGCAATGCTTTTGCCAATCACATTCTACCGACAATTGGCACGTGCTAATGGAATCCCAGAATTTGAAGTTTGTAAATGTAAGAAATGTTGAGCATAGTGGAACCAGGCTATAAAATATGTAAGTATAACAAAGTTATAATCTTATTAAATTAAATTATATTAATAAAGTTAAATTAAGTAATAAAGTAAAAATTATATTTAATTAAATAGTTCAATTGATAAATGTGAAAAATGTGTTGAGTCAAGGACTAAACCCAAACCTGGTCTGAGTTACTATATACATATATATAATTATAGATATATTATATATTTAAATTCGTATATCCATAAATAGTGTGAAATTCGTTAGTTTTCTTTTGAACTATTTTTAATCAATTAAAATATATATAAAATAATAAAGTAAAAATTATATAAAATTTAGCTGTTCAATTGATAAATGTGAATAATATCTTGAAGCAAGGCTTAAACTCAAATATGGCTGCTTAAACAAAAGCGAGCCTAAGTTCATGAATAAAATAAGTTTCCGAACCGCAAACAATTGTTGTGCTTGCAGCCTTGTGAAGCATATGCTACAAGGATATATGCTAGAATAAAGGATATACTATGTTCCCCTATCTGTCATATTGTAATCCTAGCAAAGTGTGTTTTTCTTCTTCGAGTGTATTTTCTATAGTTGGCTGCTGCGTTATGAATTTGATGCTGCCAGCAAATAACTTAGTCAGACACAAAAGGCTCTAAAACGCAAGGTTCTCTAAGCGGGCGGGTGTGGAGGGGGAGGAGGGGGGGGGGAGGTACAAGGCATTTGGCCCTGTAGCACACGTCGCCAAGGTTGATGACAGGACAACAAATCGAATGGCAATTAAAAGGTGCTAATAACCAGAACAACAACAACTGCAGCAGGGACGCACACATCATCACAAATGCCGAGTTCAACGAACTCGGAAAATTCGAAAAAATAAATAAAAATTATATTAATAACTCCCCCGTCCCGTTGCATAGATGAGGGTCAGGGGCCCAAAAAAAAAATGCTACAGCTAATTTCCTGTCTCGTTGTTCGTTCGCCTGTCTTATCTCGTTTGGCTCTCGACTTTTTATTATGCATACGCACCGTGCGCCGGGCCAAATTTAATGTGACTTGGCACATAAAAATACAAAAATTATTATTATTTGTGCGTTCAAAGCCAGAACTGAACTTTGTTTTGGCCAAGTCAACAGACGCGCTGGCCACGTGGGCACACATCTGGACACTTGACAGGGGCTTAAATAGATTTTGGCCACATTCTCGAACTGCAAGTGCAACAGACTGAGATATATTCAAGTGATATCCGTTGCTATTAATATATTTAGCTATTTATTCCGTCTGTTGCTCTTGTGCTTGATATATTGTTCGTATAAAAGTTTGGTTTTCACCCCAAAAACTTTTCACACAAGTTTCACATTGAACCCAATCGAATTGAGTCCAGTGCGAATTGGGGATATATTTATGCGCGTGGCAGCACTTGTTGAGGCGACAACATATGCTGCCAAAAAAACTTGGCTTTAAGTTTATATTTACGGCTATTAACTTGCACGCACAATATTGATATTGAGCCCAAGCTGATAAACTCCCATCAATATTTCCAGTTAAACAGCGCGGACCTCGCTTTTAATGCGCCTTGACCCGCAGCTAAATGTCAAAGAAGTCTTTAGATTTCTCATCTTAGCTTTTCTGATACCCTTCCTAGGGGTATATTAATCTGATTGACTGACTGACTAATGATTGATTGGCTGACTGACTGATTGATAATCAGCGCACAGGCAATATCGTAGAAACTGGAGAGCTAAGACGGGCTTCCACCTGAATGTGTGGAAAATAAGTGGAAAACGAATCCGATCAACTTGAAATTAAATTTTAAAATCTTCTACATTTGCGATTAATTAATTTTTAATAAATAGAGTTGGGTCATTAATTAAAACCTTTCGCTAAGTTAGTTGAATTTTTTTACATTTAAAAATATTTTATATATATTAAATATTAAAGAGAAAAGTAACGAAAAAGATTTGTTTATGCAAGTTTTCTTTGTTTTTGTTATGTGACAGAGATTTTGAGATATATTTATTTAATTTAAATTTAAATATTCCTAAGCTCATCTTAAATCGGATGAAAAGAAGATATTATGTCCTTTATCTTTAACCAAAGCCGGGTAATTTGTTCAAGTGCGCAAATATTGTGATATGGAAACTTTTTCGCTAAGGTAATTAGATTTAATTACTTTGCATTATTTGGAATATTTTGATAGGGATTTAAAATTGGTAGCAAATTTGTTGATAGGGTATTCAAGTGTTTCGGTCTGCCAAAGTTAACTTTTCTAGCATCAATTTGCTTAAATTTTCTTTTGAGGCAAACTTTGCGCGAACTTTTGTCGTAGGCCAAGTTAATGGGATTTCGGTTTTTTGCATTGTTTGGCGACGCTTAGCTGGATTTTGGTTAAGTTCTTCGTTCAAAGTAAGGCCATAAAGTTAATGAAATAATCGGTTGGAACAAATCTGACAATGTCGTTTTGCCTGGACGTGGCTTCGATTGAAATGGCCGTGAGATGTCCATGGAGGTGGGGGGGGGACGATAACACTTAGAGAAAATGCGTTATTGTTATGTTTATCGCCGGCTGCGTCACGTCCTGCGCCAAATTGAAAAGAAGAAGCCACAGTCAACCAGAAGCAATCAGGCACATCGAACTGGTAGCTGTTGCTTGACACGTAGCAGCTAAATTAAAATACAATCGGCAAGTGAAGAAAAATGACTTCATCAGCAGCAGCAGCCAGCGGCAGGCATGGACTGAGGCTGCATTACGCATACGCACCGTGTGCCCAAAGAAATCAAATGCCGCATTTAATGAAGCAAGACGTGACACGACAATTTGGCATTGTAAAATGGTTTAAGGCGAACGAAAAAAAAAAACGACTCCTTAGCGTATGCCATAAAAATCCAATTAGAAAGTGGCGTGGGAAGGACATGCAAAGCCGTGTCTCAAGGTGGCAAGGTGGCAAGGTGGCAAGGTGGCAAGTTTTGCCACTCCGCTCGGCGAAATCAATTCATTTCGCATTTTATTGGTTTTTCACAGCGCACACATAAATAAAGCCTGAAGTTGCACAGCCCTGCCCAGGTAAACACACACACACACAGGTGTGCGTGTGTGTGTGTGTGCATAACCCTGACTATTAGGTTGCCGAGCAAAATATTTAGGTCAATTCATCCAGCCGCAAAGCGAAAGGTCCTTGAATGCAAAACAACCTTCCACTGCAATACGGAGGCACAGGTGTGTGTGTGTGTGTGTGCTTAGATAATGATAGCTCCTTAACAACCCCCCCCCCCCCCTTGCTAACCCCCCCTAAGCCACTGGGCCTGCTGCTGCTTCTTATTATATAAGCACTAACCCCTAGCCAAAACATAATAATTCCTGCAGCTCCAAGTTCAATTCCATTTCATTTAACTTGTCTCGCAGCTGCTGACATTTAGCTTGATGCGAAGGCGAGGCGAGGGGGTGGTGAATGGGGGGGGGGATGGGGCAATTTTTCTTTTGCTATTTTCCGCCCACAAGTCAAAATGCCAGCAATTCAATAATAGCCCAAGGGCTGTCGCAATTTATTTATTGTTGTTGCCTTAAAGGGCCTATGCAGCTGCGTCTGGGTCTGGGCCTCAGCTTGCCTCAACCTAAGTCAATACACACACACACACACACAGAGACACACTCACACACACACACACACACATACATGCAGAGAGTGACCCACTAAACGCTGGGCAGCCCGCGGCCCGCCCTGCGCCTATGTTGAATTTGTGAAATTAGGTCAGTTCTGTGTCGATGATCCTTCAGGCCAACCCCCCCTCCCAAAAAACAGCAGACGAGGGTGAGAGAGAGAGAGATAGAGAGACAGCGCGAGTGCGCACTGATGCTCACTCCAACACACACACACACACACACACAGCTCATTCAGCTTTTCGCTCGCTTCGCTTTCTGCTGCTCGGTTCATTTCGTTTACTACGCGAACCCACTCAGAAACCCAACCCACATCGACCTGTGCAACCCCCTCTTGCCCCCTCTTTCCCCCTCTCTCCAAGTAAGCAACACCTTTGCGCCCTGCTGTGTGTCTTGGTGAACATTTTCTAAGGCAGCGCATTTAATTGGCAAACGTTGGCGCCAACTGTGTAAGCCTAAATGCGGCCAGGTGAGTTAACGTTGAGGTAGCTGCTGCTGCTACTATTATTATCTGGGCAGGTGGGCGAGGAACTGGTACTGGAACTGGGTCTGGGACTGGGTCTGGGACTGCCCTGCCCTGAGATGTCAGGCATTTTGCAATCAGCATTTGATTTCTGAAGGATTTTGATCATTTGCATGCAATTTCTCAACCGAAGCAGAAGAAGCGCTCTGTGACAGTCGATTTAACCAGCTGCCAGTTGACAATTCACTTTCACACACACGCACACACGCACACACGCACACACACGCACACACAGACAGACAGTTAGCTGCAAGGTGATGTAAATTTATTAAAATTTAACCCTCACAATTATGCGTAACCTCGTTTATTGGGGCCAAATGTGCAAGTGGCTTGTGGCTTGTGGCCCATCGTGAGGCTCAAAAAAAAGGGCCTTTAATTAAATATACAAATAATTAAATGTATGTATGTGTGCATAATACCTGGGCCTATCTCGAGCTTGGCTCAATTAGGAATATTAGCTGCGAAAATATTCAAAAGTTATTTCCTCTCAAAAAAAAGGGGCTGCAAAATGTAATTAAATTAAATATTAAAGCGAAAAGTACCGAAATTATTTAAGCAAATATTTGTTTATGCAAGTTTTCTGTTTTATTATGTGAGAGAGATTTTGAGATATTTTTTAATATCAAAAAATACGTATTTTATAATTGTACTATTATTGTTTATAGTATTGAAATTTTCATGTTCCTAGCCTAACCTTAAATCGAACTCAGAAATCAACCGAAAATATTTAAAATATTCTTAGATTTTATAAATTGATTTCTTTCATTATAATTGGAAAAATGTAGTTAACCAACGTTGGAACCAAAAGCGGAATAAACTGGTTCATGAACTGAGCCTTTAAATCCAACTCAGAAACCAACCGAACCTGAGATCTGGTATTATTATATACATATATATTATATAAAAATTTTATTTTTATTATTATATATGAAATATCAAATATTATATATATACTATATATTTTTAAAATCTTTAAATTGAATTCTTTCAATAATAGTTCATGAGCCGAACCTTTAGGCAAGACACAAGCTCGAACTGTGAACCAATTCGACGAGTATCCTTTTATACGGGTAAAATGAGTTATATCATTTTCATTCAATTGCTGTGCAAGATATCGGCAGATATTGAACTATCGAACGCTTTTATTAGCATTGGGTCGGGCTATAACCTCGTGCTGAATTTTACGGTCGAGTCTCTTTTAAAAAAAACAAAAGTACAACTTGGCAAAAGCCATTATGAAACCGAGTTGATTTTGGCATTTCGTGCAACATGGCAAAGTTTTCAGTTAGATAGCGGAGAGACGGATTTGGTTAGATGAACTCATTATAGTCGGACGTACTTCCTTCCTGTGTTGCGCCCCACATTATTTCCAAGGCTGTAAAAACTGATGGCAATTGCATGAGAGAAATTTCAATGTAGCCTGTGGCTGGGCGGGCGGGCCATAAAACTGATGATAATGCACGATAATATTTCAGAGGAAATTTAGTTCATTTGAGCACTTCGTATGCCAGAAGTATTTATGTAGCCATTAGCGTTAAGCCTGATGCTCCTTGTCGACAAATTGCGCATACGCCGGGCCTAATCCACGACTCGATTAATTGCCAAACATAAATCCGGTTAATATGCGTGGCCCACAACGAAAAAAAAAGGAAAGAAGGAAAACAAGAAAAGGACATGAAAAAATCGAGACGATCCCAAGAAAAGCGCTAATGAGCAGCTAATAAATCTCGGGCCAGCTATTAAGCAATACAAATCGTACAGATTTGTACTATATGTTTATATGGCAGGTATTTATATTTTTTGCTGTTCATTTAAATCCGTTTTCCTATCATTTTCCAGCACATTTAAAGTTATTTTTCATATGGAGCTCTGAAATTTAACTATCGTACCTCTTGGGCGCACGCTTCCACGCTAGAGCGTGGATTTTACGAAAGGGTGAATTAGTCATGCATTGATTTTTTATCTATAGCTCTGAAAATTGTTTTTCAAATCGATTAAAAAATAATTAGGTACGGATTTTCACGCGTTTTCCGACATTGAGGTTGAATTCTCCACTTGCTTATTATTGATATACAAAAAGTTGTATGTAAGGATACTCATGTGAAAAAATTTGGTTAGGTTTTGTGCTGATCATCAATCAGTCAATCAAACATTTAAATCTCTAAAAGTCTAAAAAAAGGGCTGTTCATCGATTATCATGTAGGTAGTCCTTCAGTCAGTCCATCAAAAGGTAACAGCTAGCTAGCTCTTACGGCTGGGCCTGAGCGTTGTCAGTCAATCAGTCAATCAGTCATATAGCTCCCTGGAGTTTTCGTTTGCGCTGAGCGTTGATTATTAATCAGTCAGTCCATCAGTCAAAACAAATATTTGCAGCAAAAAATATAACTACTTTAAATAATTTATCTTGCTAGGACTTGCGGGTTAGGTTTTGTTTTGATCATCAATCAGTCAATCTATCAATCAAGATAAACACTTAAAACACAAAAGGTGTAAGGCAGGGGTTGATTAGCAAGTAGTTAGTGCTTCAGTCAGTCCATCAAAAGGTAACAGCCCGCTAGCTCTTACGGCTGGGCTTGAGCGCTGTCAGTCAGTCAATCAGTCAGTCATATAGCTTCCTCCGAGTTTCCGTTTGTGCTGTGCGTTGATCATCAATCAGTCAGTCATTCCATCAGTCAAAACAAATAGTTGCAGGACAAAATATAACTACTTTAAATAATTGATCTTGCGGGTTAGATTTTGTGTTGATCATCAATCAGTCAATCAATCAGTCATGACAAACACTTAAATCACAAAAGGTGTAGGGCAAGGGATGTTCTTTGATAATAAAGTTGTGATTCCTTCTGTCAGTCCATCAAATGGTAACAGTCAGTCAGTCAATCAGTCAATCAATTTTAAATATATATATGTAAATAATCTCTGGTATATATACAAACCGAGTTGGTACTTACGCACAAAAAGGTTGCCAATTAGCGTGGCGGGCAGACAGAAGACAATCACCAGGATGTCGGCAATGGCGAGATTGACAATGAAGTAGTTGGTCACGGTGCGCATACGTGGGGCACGCAGGACGACGGCAATCACGAAGCTGTTGCCAATGAGTCCCACGAGAAAGACCACAATATAGGCGACACAATAGACAATGGACATGGCCAGCGAGTGGCGATAGAGCGGATCGAAGCCAAAGTCCACATTGCCATCCAGTTGATCCCAGCGCAGCAAGCTATCATTGTAGGACTTGGTCGCAGCTGCCGCCGTGATCAGGCTGGTTGTTGCCGGCGACATGTTCAGCAGGCTGGCATAATAGCTGGACGAGGTGGCATCCGCCACAACCACGGCGCCGGGCATGCCAAATGCCTGCGAACTGCTGCCTGTTGTTGCTGCTGCTGTTGCTGCTGTTGCTGCTGTTGTTGTTGCTGTTGCTGTGGCAGCAGCAAGGCTGGATATCAAGGAGCTGGCGGCGGGCGCCACCGTCGCCGTTGCCGTGGTCAAGATGGTGCCCAGAAGTGTGTCCGTAATGGCCCCGTTACTCAATTTAATGGCACTCGGCGAGAAGCTGCCACCGACAACATTGTTGCTGCTGTTGTTGCTGTTGTCGCTGCTGCTGCTGTTGCTGCCGGCAACATCATTGAAATTCAAGAGATTTTGCAATTCCACGAAATTATGCGTGAAATTATTAGCTTCGCCAGCGCTCTGTGTGACATCCTCCAGCAAATCACTCTGCTCCAGCATGGGCCAGCCCCTGCCCAGCCCCGCTGTTGCCGGCGTGTCCCTGCTGCTGTTAGTTATTGCTGCTGTCGCTGCTGTTGCTGTCGCTGTTGTTGCTGCTGCTGCTGCTGTTGTCGTCGGCGTGTCGCCAGCCGCGTGGCTTCTGTGTTTGCGCTTCCGAATCCGTCCGCCGACCGCCATGCTCAGCTAAATCTGGCGCCGGTATTAATGTCGTATATATATATATCTATATTTCTATTAAATTTATTGCTGTTGCTGTTGCGTATTTTTATTTTGTTGGTGTTTTTTAGAAAAAGTCTATAAAATTGGCGTCACTTGGCATTTTGCTGACAAAACATATATACATATATATATATATAAATTTTTCGCCTTTCCAGTTCCAGTTCTAGTTGGGTTCTTGCAGGATATGTAGATGTTTTTCGTGGCTGTATCAAATTAGGCAACATTCAATTAACTTGAGCGTGTGTGTGTGTGTCTGTGTGTGTGTGTTGAGAGGGGGGTTCGCCTTATTGTTGTTGCACAACACTCGCTAACAGTGTTGCCAAGTTAGCTGTTTTCTAGCTAAATTTGACTATTTGTAAGATTATAGAAATTTTGTAGCCAAATTTGGCTATTTTATAACATTGCTGACAGTTTAGCTGTTTTCCAGCTGAATTTGACTATTTGTAAGATTATAGAAATTCTGTAGCTAAATTTGGCTATTTTCAAACATAGCTGCCTGACTAGCTGTTTTTCTAGCTACATTTAACTATTTTTGAAATTTTCTGGCTAAATTGGACTAGTTTTAATAGTATTGAAATTTTGTAGTTCTTTTACTATTTTTAATATTATTGAAATTTTGTAGCAAAACTTGACTATTTTTGATATTATTGAAATTTTGTAGCTAATTTTGACTATTTTCGTAATTGTTGAAATTTTCTAGCTAAATTAGACCATTTTCGAATTTGTTAAAATCTTCTAGCAAAATTGGACTGTTTTTAATATTATTGAAATTTTTTAGGTAAATTTGACTATTTTTAATATTTTTGAAATTTTCTAGGCAAATTCAACCTTATTTAAAAATTATTCAAATCGCTATGCTGGCTATTTTTAAGCTGATTTAGCGATTTTTTAGCTGATACAAAAAATATTGAAATACTATTTTTGCGTATGTCTTTAAATTTGACAATTATCAATATTGTTGAAATTTTCTAGCTAAATTGGACTAGTTTTAACATTATTGAAATTTTGTAGTTCAATTTTACTATTTTCAATATTATAGAAATTTTGTGGCTAAATTTGACTATTTTCAAAACTGTTCAAATTTTATAGCTAAATTGGACTATTTTCGAAATTGTTGTAGTTTTCTAGATAAATTGGACTATTTTCGAAATTGTTGAAATCTTCTAGCTAAATTGGACTATGTATTTTTAATATTATTGAAATTTTGTAGCTAAATTTGACTATTTTCGAAATTGTTGAAATTTTCTAGCTAAATTACACTATTTTCAAAATTATTCAAATCACTATGCTATCCATTTTTGAGCTGATTTAGCAATTTTTGGGTGTTACAAGAAATATTCCAATATTATTTTTGCGTATGTCTTGCGTATGAAGGTAATATTATTTGATTAATATAATTATATTTTTATTTTTATTTATTATCGTTATTATTATTATTAAATGACAGCTCAATGTCAAGTATTGACAACCCTGTTCATCACTTGACAATAGCACAATTTAAATTAACAAGGGAATTTTTGGATAAACCCTTCGATCTACTTGAAAGAAACTTTAGCTTTTTTAATTTTTGTGTCCCTAAATTGTGCACTATAAGGAACAGCTTGTCAATTTAGCTTTCTTTGGCTTTCTTTTCAACACTAGATTTGGCTTGTTATTTAAAGGTGTCGCTTGGCAACACTGGTCGCAATTTGCTGCGCGCCAGCCAAGGTTGATATGCAGTTAGTGCAAAATATTTGTAACTGCATACAAGACCTGCGATTGCACGTATAAAATTGTTTGTGGTTGTGCTTGTAATTGTTATTGTTGTTGTTGTAATTGTTATTGTTATAGGTGTTGTTGTTGTTGTTGTTGTTGTCGGTTGTTGTCGGTTGTTCGGCTGCTCGGCAGCTCGGCAGCTCGTCAGCTGGCGTTGCCTTGAGTTGGCATTACGAAAAACTCTGCGAGTGCCCCCAAGGACTTGGTTGCATATTTTAGATAAGGCCAAATGTTGGCTGCACCCGGACACATGGACGCAGGCACGGACACGGTAACACGCGCCCAAAAAAAAAAAACAAAGAAAGCCAGATGGGCGTGCCAGGCGGAGGCTGGAGGCAGCTGAAGCTCAGGGACAGGGACATGGCCAAATACATGCACACATGCGCGCAGGCGACAGGCAGCTGTTATTAACTAATTGAATTGCCATTATTCTAGCTGCACTTTGACCTCAGAAAGAGGCGTGCCAAATATAAAAAAAAAAAAACAAAATAAAAAGAGAAATGGCAAATAATAGAAAATGCCATTAGGCACAACTGCCAAACGCACGAAAGACTTTGATGGAGTGACAAAAATAAAAATAAAAAACAGAGAAAATAAATATATAAAAAAAAATGGAATAAAATAAAATGTTATTCTTATGAGCTTTTCTTTTTTTGGGGTACCTTCTTTTTTTGCTGGCCAACGCCAACTGTTGGCCTCTCTGGCAGACAATAGACCCATTAATGGAATGTGCCCGGGCGCACAGCGCGTTAAAGTGCTTCAAATTAAATTGTGCTTACATGCTGCGTGGCCATCCTGGCCTGGCCAATAGGTCGCAGCAGCAACAACAACAACAATAGCAACAACAACAACAAATTGACAAATCGTTTGCAGGCATTGCGGCCAAGACAAGCTAATTAAGTGGCATGCTGCATTTGGGTTAAAGGTCCGCAAGTCTTGGCTGCAACTTCACAAACTCCTACACACACACACACACACACACGCGTGTTCGTTTCCGTGTTGACGACTCGACCTTTTTATTTTTGAATATATTTTCGAGACACTTGCAACGCGAGCTGTGCACGGTCTGGTGTCTGTTGAAGCACTGCTCCAAATGCTGCACGGCCAGCTCGCTTTTGAGGCGCGATAAGGCCAGGAGCCAGAAGCCGAGCCAGAAGCCGACGCGACACGAACCTGCCGACGACTGAATGTAGGTCCCTGTTGCCAAACCGCGCCCGCCGAAGAACAGCCTGCCTTCGTAAGCGCTCAAATGCGAGCGAGTGTGCGTGTGTGTGTGCGTGTGTGCGTGTGTGTGGGCGACTCGTCGTCGTCCTTGTCGCTGAGCAAATTGTGTACGGCTGGCCCTCAAATGCATTTGGCAGAGTTATGCTACAACGTTTTGTTGTTTTCTCTCTCACATTTTTGCCATTTCCACCCATTTTCCACCCAATTTTCGGAGGCAGCAAACATACAACTTTGTAGGCTTTCAAAATTCGAAGGACCACATTTGGCAATACACAAGGTTAAACAATTGCAAAATGTCAGGGAACGCGAACGAGAGACCCTGAGAGCCGAGCTGATGCTGGAAAAGCGAAAAGGGAAAACTTCGAAAAAGGAAAACTCATTTGATGCCATAATCAAACATGTTGTTGTTGCTGCCCATTCTTGTAGTAAATACGTTTATTATGCCATTTGAATGTTTGCCCCTTTTTTAGCGAGGGGTGTGCCTTGTATGTGTGTGTGTGTGTGTCTACGTGTGTGTGTGTGTCTATTGCTATTGTTGCACAGCCGCAGGAAACAAAACAAAAGCAACAAGCCAGGCCAGACTCTTGGCTATTATCATTGCAGTTACGCACGGGCGCCCACGGCGTATACGCAATTTCCGTTAAGTTGTGCCATTATTGTTGTTGTTGTTGCCGCTGCCTTTTGTTTGTCCTGCCAATTGCCGTTTTTCTGATGGCTTCCTTCCAACAACTGTTATTTTTGCGTTTCCTCAACAAAAATCTCAAGTCGTTCTGGTCACAAGTTCGCAGATGTTTTGGCCAAGCGCTGTGCCATAAGCTGGGTCAGCAATTCCCTGCCCCAATGGCGACAAACTTTGACCCGAATCGCCCTTTTCCTCTTGTTTTTGCATTTGTTTAAAGTTTAATGGCAGTTTTCGAGTTTCAGTTTTGTTTATTGCTTAGCTCGTTAGCATTCATATTTAGCGTGTTTAAATACACTCACTCGGCCAGCAGCGAGTAGCAAGACTCGGACTCGGAAAAGAACTCACTCAGACCCAGAGTGCGAGTGCGAGTGAGAGTGCGAGCGAGAGCGCGAGTGCGAGTGAGAGCGCGAGTGAGAGTGTGAGAGCAATAGCCACCCCGCTGGATGCGCGCGCGCTCTGGCAACAGCTGTCTTTCCTGCTGGGCCAGGCAAAGGTTCAAAAACCTTGTGCTTGGTTCAACACACACAAACAATGCGATGCCAGCAACTACACTGTACAAAATTTCGATTTCAAAGTCTCATAAGTTCGTCAAAATAAAGAAGATCATTTTGTTCAAGATTTTAGCACTAGATTTATTCAGCAGCTCATTCGTAAACATTTATAAAATTATATATAGAAGAATTATAATTAATTATAAATAAATTAATTAATCAATTATTTTTGGGAATTATACATATAAATAATATAAAAAAAGTTTTTGGAATTCGTTTGTAAGTTGGCCAACTAAGAATAAAACACAAAATTTTATAAAAATCGGAATGACTTTATTTTTCCGGCTTTATTACCTTGTGTAAAATTTTATAATTTAATATAATAATATATAGTCCTTCGCAGTCTTAAGACTTCAAACATTTTTTAAATTAAACTGTTTTTTATGATTGATCTGCATACAAATTTGATTGCCATTTGAAAATATAATATTTTCGAGTATTCTCTATTTCCTGGTAATCTCCCCAATTCATATTGGAAAATTATTCTGCTATTTTATTATTATCAATTGTGGTGTTAATACTAGTATAAGACACTATCATAAAAGAAAAATTCTAAGGTTGCTCATATTTTTGTTTTAATTATCCCAAAAAACTCTTCAACGTTTGTTACACACATAATATATTCCCATTTTTCGATGCAACAATTGATTTATGTAAGTATAACAGTATAACAGAAGTAAAAAGAAAAAACACATTCGAACGCCGCGCCCTAATTTTATAGAAATTTCCAGCAACAAAAGTCTGGCAAGCCTGAGCGCCAGTTCAGCCCGTTGTAACGATCTCGCTCGCACAATTGTGGTCTGGCAACACTATTTGTAAATTGAAAAAATAAAAAATATTTATTTTGGGACGCCCTATTTGAAATACTCTACCAGCTGCTTATGCTATGTTAAGGGTACCTAAATTTTAGGGCTGATTAGTTGAATGTATGTATACCTGGCATACCTTGAAAAGGGACCATTTTTTGTTGATCCTAAGCCAGCTTAACAAAGGCAATTACACATGTGAAATTTTCTGGGAAACTTGTGATTTCTATAACAAAGGAGCCATGTCCATGGGCAGAGTATATAAAGCAGTGAGGCACGTAGGCAGCGAACACAGCAGTGTATTCACTCACACCTTCGGAATACATTTGTCGCACACAAGGGAGACGAATCGATTTTTCGAAGCGTCGAGAAGGCATCTGCCACCGGGTATAAATAGAGCTCGCAGCAGGCATCGCACTCATTCGAAAAAAATAAGTGCTCAAGTGAAGTTCTCTCGTGAAACTGAAATTTAGTTTAAAAAAAAAAAAAGTTGATTTTGATATAAGTGCTAATCTTTACATTAGTTGTTACACACATACCATGCATATATATTGTTCAACGGCGATGAAAAAGTGTGCAGAAACATTTGGAAAGTCGAAACTGCGGAGCTATAACATGGCACGAAGGCTGAAATAATTGCTACTATGGGTTTTTCAAGCATTTCTGCTCTGAACAAAGAAAATGAAATCAGCAAATCAGCTCGTCGTCGTCATCAGCGTGGGCACGTCAGGCGTTTTCACAAATCGGCGAAATATGGGGCCACACGAGAAACCAAACTTGGCGGTGCGAAAACCCAAGTTTTTCATCTTTGGCTAGAAAGTTGCACTGTAGGCAGGCTCTCTGAGGCAGATGCCAGGCGTTTGAAATTGCTAGCCGGAGTGTGCGGAGTGTGTGTGTTGTCCTGGACTTGAGAGGAGTTTGGATAGGAAGCCAGGTATAAAACGCAGCGAAGACAGCTTGTTCTCTTGTTATATACGTAAGCAAATATCTAAGCTTAAGGCGTAGTTTTTATTGCCAGTCAATTTTTCAATTCTATTTTCAAAACGTTTCCGAACGTGTGACGTCAGCGTGTTTTTTTCTTGCTTTACTTAAGTAAACGTTTGTACAAATTTCTCTTCGAAATGAACAAATTTGCAAATATTGTGTAATATTCGTATTTGCAATTTCTGTATTGCGTAATATCGTTTTTTTTCGACGCTCCTAGCATAAAATCCACCCCATGCAGAGCCATGAGTCATCTTATTTTTGTCTATACATGAAACTTCTCGACTGTTCTTATGTGTAACACCCAAAGAAGAGCAGTTGGCCTGCTCTAAAAATAACGCGCATTGTATTTGCATGTATATATATATACAACTCGTATACACATTCTATCTCGCTTGCACTTACGTACAGATGCCTTTGCGTGGCACAGCAGCTGCGCAATGAACTCGCCCCGTGGTGAGTTACATAGTTATTGGACCCGCCTTTGTTGTATTGATTTGACTCTTTCCACCTCTTCTGTACGTATACGTATAAGTGTTACCATCTCTACACAAGTATCTCTGGAAAACGTTTTTTTTTTTCGAACGGGCGCTTTTATTGGCAATTTACATACTAAATTAAGTTCTTTAGCCCTTTAAAAATTCTAGTTGTTAATCTTATTTAATTAACTGCCATTTTGATAATTGTTTTACACGTTAACCAAGCAATATGTATTTCTTTCTCTAAACTTTATAGTTGGGCGTTGAAAGTTGATACGCGATCGATCGATGTTGTAACTCGAATGCAATGCGTGCGAAAGGGCATTACAACAGCTGAAATATGCTGTTGGTTTGGCCCCGTTAGCCGTGTGGCGAGAGTATATCTGAACTGCGACTGTGTGTGTGTGTCGCTAACCTACACAGGGGTACTAAACATCGTTTTTATCAGATTGATTGCGTGGATTGAATTTATAGGAACCTGTATATCGACTTCTCTGCTCTACTACTATGACTTGTTCAAAACAAAGGCGCACAATTACATATACGTTTATATACGGCCTTCTATTATTTACCTAACATCATCGAACCGTTATCAATACCGATCAAACAGATATATAACACTGTACTGACATCGATCGATAAAGATAAATATCTCGTATCTGGATTAGCAACTGAACGAACGAGCTGATCGGTAGTTCGTTTTATGCAGCACAAATTACAAACTATATTCCTGTTATTTACTTATTTTTTGTTGTAAACATAAAACATTTGCTAGTACACGACATGTGCGACTTAAGTTCTTAAATACCTGAAACTGTTAAAGAAAAAAAAATATTCTGTTTTTGTACACAACCCAAGATTTAAGAAAATTTGTCCATTTATTGTTGTAAATATACTTGTCCATACAAACCAGTTATATAGATAATGAATGAAGAATATAAGAAAAAAAGAATGAGCTCATCAATACAGAAAAAGAAGCTACAAACAAAAAAGAATAAAAGAAATCGAAGAAGACCAATAAATTTCGAAACAATTGTTCGCCATATTTTTATTTTAAGCTAAAATTCTATACAAATTTCAGTCTAATCATCGTACAAATGGAGGAAGGGCCACTCTCAAAATCCCATACAGGTTTATTTACACGAAAATTATGCGTATAGAAAAATATGAATTTCCCTTTTCAGTTATAAGGTTTGAATCTAAGGTAAACATCGACAATATATATATATATATATACACGAGGCATTCCTTAAATATAAGTACACAATTTAGCCCATACAAAAATTGCGAAAATATAAGGGAAATATAACATCTGAATTTGATGATTTAAAATATAATTAGGATTTTGGTAAATGCTAACAAAAGTTATGCGATAAGCTGCGAAAATGGTTAAATATTCAAATAATATATAAGACACTTCACAACGGCCGTATTTACGCAAATTTTAAAACCCAACAACATTCGACGATATTCCAAAATTTTTTCAATTTTCTTCTAATTTTTTTAACCTTAGTTACGTGTCCTCAATTTTATTTTTACATAGTCCATGTTTTACTAGATATCATCAAACTACATCACAGCGTGAACAGTTCACACAGAAACATCAAATTCACTTCCAATACCAAGCGGAAACTAAAAAACAATACGTACAGAAGATTCAACGCTTCTAATGCTCAACAAAGTACACGGAATTTTTCTTCCACAATGACACAAAAATACCCTTTAATGGTCAAAATGGTTCAGCATAGAGTGGAAAATCCCATCCAATTAATGTCTGGCTACTTCTCAACCTGGAAATTCCCTCCAAAGAATGAATATGAACTTTTCAAGATCGTCTGAAATTGCAACATCTGAATTAATGAGAACTACACGGCAGCCCAAGCATCTATCTACCTCAATGCACCACATTCAATTCAAGCAAAAGCTTCTCAAATAATATTCAATATGTGCCATCCGAGTATAACGTCTACAAAAGATTCATCTGCTTCTCAACTGCTCCTCCATCTACAAGCAACTCAATATCTTCTGCTTCTCAGCTGCTCCTCAACTGTTCCTCCATCTACAAACAACTGATATCTTTAAAATTCATCTGACATTGTTTTTTAAGTTCGATCTTCAACAATTCCAAAAAATTTTTCCCACGTTCTTCATTTGACTGTCAACTTCTACTATTTAATATATCTCGCCCGTGATTACAACCAAATTTTAATTTTAATTTATGATACACAATCTACGAAACATTTTACTCAAACCACGTTGTCTTATATATCTCTATTATAAAACCTGCGTTCAATCCAAATATTTCAATGCTAAACATACAAAAAATTATGAAAACAAATGTCCCCATTAGGTAGATAATACACAAACTGCGGTTCAAAACAAATCTGAAAATCCCCTGTCAACTCCGAAAATGTGAATTCTGGTAAACTCCCATAACACGAAAAAATCCTATACGAAACAGTGATCCATCAAATAATTACAATACAAAACATACAAAAGAGTGTGAAAACATAGAAATTTCCCTATTAGGTAGGTTATACACGAAGCTGCGGTGAATTTGAAAAGAATGGTGTCTTCGGTTAAGAAAGAGTATGAAAACATAAAAATTTCCCTAATAGGTAGTACAACACACATCTGAAACATACAAGAGTGTGAAAACATACACGAAAACTGCGGTGAATTTGAAGAGAATGGAGTACGGTTAAGAAAGAGTGTGAAGACATAGAAATTTCCCTATTAGGAAGGGAAAAACTACGTTGAATTTGAGGAGAATGGTGTGTTCGGTTAAGAAAGAGTGCGAGAACATAGAAATTTCCCTAATAGGTTGTATAATACAAATCTGAAACATTCAAGAGTGTGAAAACATACACGAAAACTGCGGTGAATTTAAAGAGAATGGAGTTCGGTTAAGAAAGAGTGTGAAAACATAGAAATTTCCCTAATAGGTAGGTTATACACGAAAGTGCGGTGAATTTGAGGAGAATGGTGTGTTCGGTTAAGAAAGTGTGAAAACAAAGAAATTTTCCTAATAGGTAGGTTATACACGAAAGTGCGGTGAATTTGAGAAGAATGGCGTGTTCGGTTAAGAAAGAGTGTGAAAACATAGAAATTTCCCTATTAGGTAGGTCATACACAAACTGCGGTGAATTTGAGGAGAATGGCGTGTTCGGTTAAGAAAGAGTGTGAAAATATAGAAATTTCCCTATTATCATACACAAACTGCGGTGAATTTGAAGAGAATGGTGTGTTCGGTTAAGAAAGAGGGTGAAGACATAGAAACTTCCCTATTGGGTAGGTCATACACAAACTACGTTGACTTTGAAGAGAATGGTGTGTTCGGTTAAGAAAGAGTGTGAAGACACAGAAATTTCCCTATTAGGTAGTACAACACAAATCTAAACATACAAGAGTGTGAAAACATACACGAAAACTGCGGTGAATTTGAAGAGAATGATGTTTGGTTAAGAAAGAGTGTGAAAACATAGAAACTTCCCTATTAGGTAGGTCATACACAAACTACGTTGACTTTGAAGAGAATGGTGTGTTCGGTTAAGAAAGAGTGTGAAGACACAGAAATTTCCCTATTAGGAAGGTCATACACGTAAACTGCGGTGAATTTAAAGAGAATGGTGTGTTCGGTTAAGAAAGAGTGTGAAGACATAGAAACTTCCCTATTAGGTAGGTCATACACAAACTACGTTGACTTTGAAGAGAATGGTGTGTTCGGTTAAGAAAGAGTGTGAAGACACAGAAATTTCCCTATTAGGAAGGTCATACACGTAAACTGCGGTGAATTTAAAGAGAATGGTGTGTTCGGTTAAGAAAGAGTGTGAAGACATAGAAACTTCCCTATTAGGTAGGTCATACACAAACTACGTTGACTTTGAAGAGAATGGTGTGTTCGGTTAAGAAAGAGTGCGAGAACATAGAAATTTCCCTTATAGGTAGTACACCACAAATCTGAAACATACAAGAAAGTGAAAACACACACGAAAACTGCGGTGAATTTAAAGAGAATGGTGTCTTCGGTTAAGAAAGAGTGTGAAAACATAGAAATTTCCCTATTAGGTAAGTTATACACAAACTGCGGTGAATTTGAGGAGAATGGTGTTCGGTTAAGAAAAAGAATGAAAACATAGAAATTTCCCTATTATACATAAACCTATTATACATAAACCACGATTTCAACACAAATCTAAAACATAAAATAGTTCGAAAACATAGAAATTTCCCTAATTGGTTGGTTATACACGAAAACTGCGATGAAAACAAAAAACAAAACAAATTTCAAAAAACAAACCCCTTGAGGAGAATACATCTATTTGAATTTTATGATTAATAATACCTTACAATTTTGGTAAATGCGATAATAAGTTATGCGATAAGATGCGAAAATGGTTAAATATTAAGATAATATACACAAGACATCACAACGTCGTATTTCTGTTAAATTAAAGACCCAACAACATAGGATGATCCACAATTTATTCAATTTGCTAATTTATTATGAACTTTATGTCTTCGATTTGTCGTCTTAAATTTTATTTCTTCATAGTCCCAAGTTTTACTAGCTTTCATCAAACTACAACTCAACGAGAAGTTTACAAAGAAATGTCGTTAATCCACTTCAAATATCAAAAAGAAAATACACAACAAAATTGACGGAACATCAAATGCTTCTTATCCTCGACAAAATACACGGAATTTTTCTCCCACTATTGATAAACATACGAACTTCACCTTTACCTTCAACGACACCAAAATACCCTTAAATGGTCCAAATTGCTCAGCATAAAGTAGAACGTCCAATCCAATTAACATCTGTCTACTTTTCAACCTGGAAATTCCCTCCAAAGAATGAATATGAACTTTTCAAGATCGTCTGAAATTGCAACATCTGAATTAATGAGAACTACACGGCAGCCCAAGCATATATCTACCTCAATGCACCACATTCAATTCAAGCAAAAGCTTCTCAAATAATATTCAATATGTATAACGAGTATAACGTCTACAAAAGATTCATCTGCTTCTCAACTGCTCCTCCATCTACAAGCAACTCAATATCTTCTGCTTCTCAGCTGCTCCTCAACTGTTCCTCCATCTACAAACAACTCAACACAACTGATATCTTTAAAATTCATCTGACATTGTTTTTTAAGTTTGATCTTCAACAATTCCAAAATATTTTTCCAACGTTCTTCATTTGACTGTCAACAACTTTTACTATTTAATATATCTCGCCCGTGATTACAACCAAATTTTAATTTTTATTTATAATACACAATCTACGAATCTCCATTATAAAACCTGCGTTCAATCCAAATATTTTAATGCTAAACATACAAAAAATTATGAAAACAAATGCCCCTATTAGGTAGATAATACACAAACTGCGGTTCAAAACAAATCTGAAAACCCCTGTCAACTCCGAAAATGTGAATTCTGGTAAACTCCCATAACACGAAACTTTCACCTTTACGAAACAGCGATCCATCAAATATTTACAATACAAAACATACAAAAGAGTGCGAAAACATAGAAATTTCCCTATTAGGAAGGTCATACACAAACTGCGGTGAATTTGAGGAGAATGGCGTGTTCGGTTAAGAAAGAGTGTGAAAACATAGAAATGTCCCTATTAGGTAGGTCATACACAAACTGCGTTGAATTTGAAGAGAATGATGTGTTCGGTTAAGAAAGAGTGTGAAAACAGAAATTTCCCTATTGCGTTGAATTTGAGGAGAATGGTGTGTTCGGTTAAGAAAGAGTGTGAAGACATAGAAATTTTCCTATTAGGTAGGTTATACACAAACTACGTTGACTTTGAAGAGAATGGTGTGTTCGGTTAAGAAAGAGTGTGAAGACATAGAAATTTCCCTATTAGGAAGGTCATACACGTAAACTGCGGTGAATTTGAGGAGAATGGTGTGTTCGGTTAAGAAAGAGTGTGAAGACACAGAAATTTCCCTATTAGGAAGGTCATACACGTAAACTGCGGTGAATTTGAGGAGAATGGTGTGTTCGGTTAAGAA